GGAGCCGCCTATATTCGTTCCGCGCTAGCCATAAATGAATTTTGCACTTTGAGAGCTACAGTTGTATTCATCGACAATTATTAATGTTGCAGTTTGTATATATATATAAACATAGACATAAACATTCTGCAGTTGTTTTTTAAGAAAATTTGAAATAATACGCGGTTTAAAAACTAATGAACTCAACGCAGTCTATGCACAAGCAATGCCCGACAATGAAAATCGAATAAATCTAATATGCAAAATGTCTTGTAGTATTTGAAATCGAGGATCTCGTAGGTCGTGAAAGCATTTGTTCGATAGTGAAACCGAGTAAGCTTCAAATGCAATGCGTCCCGAAACATTTGTTTTGATCAGTGCTAAAATTAAGTTCGGCATAGTAATGTTGGTCGGATTCATTTCTAACTACTTTTTATGTTGCGGCAGAGAAGCACACCCTTTCCTTCGTCTTTTAGAACAGAAAATATTGTGTACGAATATATCCTTGGAATGTCGACACAGGTTTCAACTTCGAATCTATATTTAGCTTACTTAGGAAGTAAGAGGACTTGTAATGAATATTGAAGCATCATATCTGGCAGAGTTGTTAACTGTGAGAACGATTATTGGCAAAAATAAAAATAAAACTAGACGACAACATGACGAAATAAGATAACTATCGTAGCAAACTGATGCGCAACATCTTGAGAATGGAAACCAGGACAAAAATTATAATTTATTTCGAAGAACACAACCTAAACGCAAAGAATTAAATTATTGATTAGATTGCAAAGAGAAAAGGATAAGGCGAAACAAAAGAAATCATCGCATTTAAGTAATCCGTTCAATATTTCGTCGTTAATAGTGTATCGTGGTATATACAACCTTGAAAACGATCAGGTTGTACTTGCAAGTTATACCACTCCAAATGGGAAACCTGGAGCTGTATTATTGGGAAAAGCTCAAAAAAGCGCATCTCTCGCGGGCATGGGGGCTGCAATAGCATTATACAGACGGGCAGAGGAACATGCTTAAATCGTTCAGCCGTAAATTGCTGGTTCGCCAGTGTTCCAAAATGCCGCAACGTTGGCCTATAAGCAATAATTAAACACATGCTTTTGAAATAACCACGTTATCGACTAAGGGTGACGCGTCATGTATTGAAGATCATCGGAGAGCCCCGCAGCTGCCCTTTACACAAATCTTATACTGTCCGAAGTCAGCCTGCGTGAGGAGGACACATTTAACGCTCCACAAGTCGTCAATCGCTTTTCCCCCTATTTTGAAAGATTTTCTGTTAATTCTTTTCATATATTCATACAAGTGCTTGAAATATAATATATAATCTTGTATATATAAATGTATGAAAAAAAATATGCATTCATCTTCCCTTGTACGCCTTCTGAATAGTTTTATACAATTTTTATAGGCGTGGCATTCGATTTTCCCCTATTTTGAAAAATTTTCTGTTAATTCTTTCCATATATTCATAAGAACGACTTTTATTCAACAGTCGAAAATATTTATAGGAAAGTGCGATAACGGTACTTTATATTCTTACATAGTTTATGTGGCTGTTACAAACGACATAGAAGCAGAGAAAGCAATAGAATTTTTTATTCATCCCGTATTTCGAATACGAAAATGTGTTGGTGCGTGCTATTTAGGGTACTTAAAGTGATTGAGAAACAACTGACCAATTTTTCTGGGCGTGTTTATCAAAACTGGGAATCTTATATTAATGAGAATATTTTACCACCTGGGTTGATGGTCGTACCAAATCGTTGTGTATCGCATATGCCACCTGGCAATACAAAGATAAATTTAATAGCAAAAATATGTTTTTTTTCGAATACGCGCATTTAAACGGTGAAAGTTAACGTTTACCGAATTTTTTAGTATATGCAATTTAAATAACACATCGGTCAATAATTTCCGGGACACAGAGGTGTCGATTGTGTGTAAAATGATTTTAGAAAATATATTAATCTTACGAAAATCTCATGTTGTTTTGTTCGCTTTTTTTTTGGCCTCCATGTGTTGATTACCTCTACTACGTATGTAGCCTTTTGAAAGGGAAAAGTACGATTCAAGCACGGCAATGGCTTAAAAGGAAAGCTCTTCTCTTGGCTCGTATTGGCTGGAGTTCGACGTAGTGCTCTCACCCACGTTATTCTCCAGATTTGACTCCCACTAACTGTTCTCTGTTTGCAAACATCAAAGGGGAAAAAATCAGACTAAATAAATGAAATGATTGCGAAGGCAAATTTTAAAGCTCAAACAACAAGCCGTTCTTTAGAGAAGATATTGATATATCAGGGAAGTGTTGAACTGATTCTATAACTCTTCAGGGATTACACGTTTATGAATTAATCAGTGAATTGAATTTTGCAAAAAAAAAAAGAACAAACTTCTTCTTACCTAATCCCGGAATTTATTGACCGATTTATTGCGTATATATACATAGATGTACATATTATTTCTATTTTAATTAACACTAATTTTATGACTTGGCTGGTAACCAAAAATTTTTGTTAATCCAAAACTACAATCAAGAAGCAAAAAATACAATCACCTGGGACGAATCTTGCATACCCAACATCTCATATCAACGACATAATCCACATTAGTTCGTTTTCCTCAAATTTTTTTCAGTCTTGCGAATTCCAGTATAGGAAGACAAAAAGCACACACACATTTAGGCACACGGCTAAAACCGAAGTTCATGAATTTCATACGGATCGTTAATGCAGAGACTTTAAGGCATGTAGGTAACTGATAGAAGCGAAAGGAGAAACTCAATATACCCCACAATGATCGATAGTGTATATGAGAATAGTTCTCTTTCAATACAATACCAATTGATTCATACATTGAACACATTTTCTTGACGCTATTAATGCGACCAAACGTTAGAGTTTTGCACGTCTCTTATTCTCTGTCATTAACACCCTGATGAATACTATGTTGACGTTTTGTATTTAAGAAATTTGTTAATGGGTTATAGGTTAAAATTAATGAAATTGTTTCACGTAAATTGTGAAAAAATTAAATAAAAGGCATAATAGCATTTGCCCTAACAAAATTCTTTATTTATTTTCATAATAAAAAATTAAAAATGTAGACTTTGTTGTCGTGTGAACGGCTGTTTTCATGACGAGTTTTATAGAGACAAGATCCAAATTTGGTGTACCTAATTTTTGTCCCATAATATTTAAAAATGCAACTTTTCGCCGCAGGAGTAGCGGACTAGGTAAGAGCCGCGACTAACAAGTCAGTATTCGCCGTTTCTAATTGTAGTGTAGCAGAGTTTAGTTTGCTCGTAGGTATGCTGAGTGTTCAGTCGGTGAACGCATAAGACTTACCGATTGGGCACAAGGATTCACTAGGCTTCGTCCGCCTCCCTGTATCATTCCTCTTCACCGCTTCGTCTTCTTTCTGGCCATCACCGTGTTACATCAATAGGGGACATCCCCCGAATGAATGGCCATCAAAAAAGACTTACTTCTCGTAGATGCCGCTTTATCAGAGGGGATCCAAAAGTTACACATTTATTTTAGTCGTTGAAAAAAGAATGATTCGAAACTAGCAACAATCTTACGTCTGATTGTATAAAAAAAATATTAAGTAATGACTTAAACAGTGTGATAGAAAAACATGAAGGCAATGTAACGTCTCCAGCATTAATTCAGTGTGCGTCTGGAAAGATTTGAAAAAGTAAGGATGATAATTCAATGGCGTAAAACGCGGACAATAGGCGCTTCAATAATTTTATACGATCCGACATGGTTTAATCAATTCACAATTTCACATCGATCAAGTATACATATACTTTATAGGGCCTTTGAAGGTTCTTTTTGGGTGTTGCATACATTATGGAAAGAAACAAGATGGGTACACCTGTGGTTGGTAGAAAAAGAAAAAAAAAATCATGTACACATCTAGCACAGAGACACACCCAAAACCGGCGTAAGTTGTTGTTAAAGATGAACCCCCAAGCCATTGCAACAATGAAGAAGCTTGGCAACCGGTAAAAGTGAAGAAATATGTAGTCCGATTTTCGAATCCCACGAAGATATCGAGATTAGAAGAAAATCTAGGTACGACATAGGCAAAGCACGGGTATTTAGAAGAGTTGATTTGATAGTTCTTAATGAATCCGACATTGAGATTCAACTATAGATATCATTAAGGTTTTTGCAGAGGGCGCTAAAAGGATTGGAAATGCTCGTAATTGTATCTACATTAACTAAGCTTTAAGAAAGTAAAATTCCTCGAGAAACGGTTCGGAAGATTGGAATTTATCTCTTGATCGATAGCCCCATTTATTAATTTAATTGAGAAGGAAACACTAAGGATATATCTACGTTCTTCAAATGACGGCAAGGCTAGCACAACCAATCTATTCATAAGAAGGCAAAGAGTCAAGGGTATCCCGGCCCAAATCCCGAAAGGCAAAGAGCAGTAATTGCCTTTGAACTGATTCTAGTGAATCTACATAGCCCCTGTAGGAGGGGAACCACGCAACAGACGCATATTCAACTATTAGTCTCACTAAGCTCATATATAGCCGCTTTGTAACCTAAGGGTCGTCAAAGTCCTTATAAAATCAAGCACTGACTTGCTACCTATGTTCGAACAAAATCTCTGAATCCACAGAACGAATCTACATCGGTAACGAATAGAGAGAGCCCGCCTTGAGAATGAAAACTTCTTATATTTTTTTAAATTGAATTTCACAAAATATAAATAGCACTATGTAATCAAGTTGTCTGAATCAGATTGAAAAAGGTATGAGTGCGATTGCAAGGAAAGAGAAGAAAATAGGTTAACATCAAAATATGGCTGGACTTAATCGCCCAAGGGAGATAATTGATAATTGAAGATAAACTGAAAGGCTTGTTAATGGCTGTCTGAAGGCACACCTTACGTGACACGAAATTGATCAGAGATGATGGAATTAGAAGAAGAGCATTAAACGATCTATTATATTATGGGGACGAGAGCCTACCCATTCCAATAAGAGAATATATACAAAGAGAAGTCAGATGCCTAGAGTTTAATGATCAATAATCAAACAAGTCAAACGCTTTATTAAAATCGCTTCGTTCAAACAATTTAGATAAAACACTCAATTTGGCAATACGTTTATAGTTCGCGACCAGATGTCTGCTTCCAGCACCTTAGCACCAAGGGCAAACACCCGTTTTCAAAGAACTCCTCGGAACATTATTTGAGCATATATGATGGAATGTCGTCAGGCCCAGGCGCATAACTATATTAAAGTGATCTTAATACGTCTCTATCTGAAATGACTAAATACGAAATCGCGATCGAGTTCGTGTTTTGATATGGATAATTACCAGTTAAAACGGAACCGACATTAAAAACATTTCGACGGAAGTATTCGGGAAAGAGATTCGAAGTTTCAATGTCACCGAAGGATTCGGAGCCATTAAGAGAGTTAGAGAGCGGATATAGGGGCACTCTTCCTTTAGAGTTGACAAATTTATAAAAGTATTTAAAATTACTAAGAAGCAAGGATTTTTGCGATAATTGTCATGGTTGAGGTAATTGACTCTACGTTTCACCGAAGGATGAACGAAATAGTCGTAAGCAGATTTACTTTTCCTATATTTTAGATTTGGTTTTCGTATTTTTATAGCGTTCAATTACTTAAACCATATCGGGCAAATGCTTTGAAGGAGCGGTTGCCTGATCGCAAAAGATGCAGAAATAGCTAGGTTTAGGACATTACAAAACGGGGAAACGGGTTTCCATATTCCCAGCAATAAAATTATCGTACTGTGAGAAAGATGAGTTTGAAGCAGTGAATTCATTAAAATCGTATTATAATATTTGAGCACGAGGCATTTAACATGTTAGTGTTATTGAAATGGTCATCCTGCTCGTAATGAAGGGCAAACAAATTGCTGGCTGATACGAATTGTCAGGAAAACAAACAGATGGGGCTATTACAATTAGGAGTGCGATTGATTGTATTGAAGTAAGTTTGGGCCAAGAATTCATTAAAAGGTACACTAGCTCTCTCAGTTGTTAAACTGGGGACCACGTAGTTTGAAGTATTGCTAGAATATTGAGTGACTTGCGGTGAATTAAAGCCAAAACCCAACACTATGATCATTTCAGTAGATTTCGATACTGCGGCCACACTACAAATCAGAGCAACATGTTTCTTCTAAGTGGAAAGTTATCCGCCTGAGTGACCGGGTAGGCAAGAGTCTCGACTAGCAACTCAATGGTCGTGGGTTCAAATCTCAAGTGCGGTAGAGTTTTAATTTAATAAAGCCGAAAGACTTAGATGCTAGTGCTTTTAAGACTTTTAGTCTTAGAATTTATTCTCTGGCTAAATTTCTAATAATAATAATAATAATATTTATAGCCAACTTTCACACAAGTGGTAATAAATTCGAAGTCGAGAAAAGTTGGAAATTCAAATGAATATGACGGAAAGGCAACTGATATGGCACCAACTGTACGATCTAATCGATCTTTCATGAAAACATGGGAAGTGTTGGGGAAAAGTTCCGACGAATTGTGAACCGGCTTAAGCAAGTTTTCAATAAAAGCGAAGGAGGCGAACACAGTGCTCACTGAATTTAGTTACGTCGACCGAATTTTTAAATTAAGACCCCGAACATTTTGATAAATGATAGTTGCTGAGGAAACATTCAGTTTTTTACAAGGGAAAGAACTGTAGAATTAGTGTTGCGAAGCCTATCTCGCTATCTTATATGCCAAAACGACATTTTGTCAGGATTTTATGATGAAAATTCACGATAGTAGTTTGACGTAAAAATTAAGTGGACCAAATTTGAACTACATAGGTCTATTTCTTATACCCCACTTCATATAAGATTTCTCATGAAGAGTAAGCGATAAAAATGGGTCCATAGCAGCAAAAAAATGGACTGTAGTGAATTTAGATCAGATACGTCTGTATTTTACACCCAAACATATATGGGTGCTATTTTGAATAGCAAGCCCTTATATGGAGTGAAAGTGCAATTTATAGTTTTTTATGACGGGAAGTGAAAAATAATACAATTTTTAGGGAGAGAATTAAGTTTGCTCAATCGATGCGACAGATGAACAGTTTACCTTTACGTGAAAATAATGCGCAAATTTATCACCAAAACGGGTAAGTAAATGTACTAGACGAAACGGTATAAGGTACCCAATGGCCGACCCTGCCCGATAATGTCTATATGTAAAATTGACGAAACCCAAGTTTCTATGCGAACATGGATTTCCTATTTCACATCTAAGCAATCTGAATAAATGGAAAATCCCAAGTACGCATTGATCCATAAATTGATTGGTCTAATGGTAATGAAAAAAATATTTAATATTTAATATCACTTAGTAAAGGTAACAAAGTATTGAACACAGTGAAAGACAAACTTGTTTTGTCGCCGTCTCTTGTTAATGGTCATAATTATTCTATTGTGGCTTTCAACTGAGTTAAAGCAAAACTTTTTTTAATAAATTATTTATGATTATTATCCTTTTAAGCTTATGTCGTGTTTTTCAATTGTTGCTTTCGTTTGTTGCATTTTAGCTTAGTTCCAAAAATAGTCAATGGCGGTATTGCTGGTATTATCGGTGTATCATGTGTCTTTCCTTTGGATTTGGTGAAAACTCGTTTACAAAATCAACAAATAGGACCAAATGGCGAGAAAATGTATAAAAACATGTACGTACGTCTTAATGCATTTGTTTATAAATTTTCGAATTTTTATTTAGGCAAAATTTTTTTGTTTTTCGTATTAGGTTTGATTGCTTCCGAAAGACATATCGAGCTGAAGGTTATTTTGGCATGTATCGCGGTTCGGCTGTAAATATTTTATTAATTACACCCGAGAAAGCGATTAAATTAACCGCTAACGATTACTTCCGGCATAAGTTTACGACTTCAGATGGCAAACTTCCAATCAGTAGTCAAATGCTTGCTGGCGGTTTAGCTGGTGCTTTTCAAATTATTGTTACCACTCCTATGGAGTTATTAAAAATTCAAATGCAAGACGCTGGACGTGTTGCGGCCCAAGCTAAACTAGCTGGTAAAGTTGTCGAAAAGGCCTCAGCTACAAAAATAGCCCAACAATTGCTTAGGGAGAAGGGTATTATTGGTTTATACAAGGGTATCGGAGCAACTGGTTTGCGAGATGTTACATTTTCGATTGTCTACTTTCCCATGTTTGCCATGTGTAACGAATTGGGACCACGGCGTAAAGATAGTTCTGGCGAAGCAGTATTTTGGTGGTCATTTTTATCAGGCTTAGCGTCCGGTTCATTTGCAGCGCTATTTGTCAATCCTTTGGATGTGATAAAAACACGCTTGCAAGCTCTTAAAAAAGCGGATGGTGAAAAGGAGTTCAAGGGCATCACTGATTGTATAACGTAAGTTTTAAATAATTTCATACCCCGCACGCTATTTTTGCTTGATATCCATCATCATAGGATAGAGAGGCGAACTATTGCTGCGCTTGTTTTCTAACAGTTCAAGTTATCAAAGTCCGATTCGCCTTTGATCGCGGCAACTTGAAATGTGCTAGCGTTGAGCACGATAGCAAAAAAGATAACTATATAGAAACGCCTGAGTAGTTCATAAAAAAATTGAAATCAATTTAGACTCTCATTAAAATTTACTTTCCTATAAGGCAAAGAATTTCGTCGTGTGAATATTATAATATATTGGCTTTTCACTGAAAACACGAACCTATGCACGAACCAACGCTTATCGCAACGACAAAGCTCCGTTTTGACTCACTGAGCGCTATTATTGATGCATGGCATCTCAGAGTTTCCGATGAAATTATATTATATTCTTGATATTTGATTATTTCGTGTTTTAACACAGACCTATATGCGGATCAATGCTTATCGCAACGACAAAGCTCCCTTTTGACTCACTGAGCGCTATTATTGATGCATGGCATCTCAGAGTCTCCGATGAAATTCTATTATATTCTTGATATTTGATTATACCGTGTTATCGAATTCATCCTGTCGGCATCGATGGGTTATTTTCTTTCTACGAAGCAAGGCTAGATCGGTCCTGTTTTGTTGCTTTTGAGAAAAAATCAACGAGATCTGATTTTAAAACAGATGATGCAGCGCGACGCAGTTATAGCAGAGCGATGAAGTTATATGTAGTAAAATTCGACGATTTGCTAATTTCTTCCGTCTGTGACGATTTGTGCCGATAACGCTGACAAAATAACCGCCATCACTTCTTTGTGAATATAGCAATCTGACTAGATCGCGATATAATGCGCTGTAATTCATTTTTGCCCGTGTATGACTACAGCGAACATATTAAAAGTACTTTTAAATTTAAATGATAAAATCACTTATTTGTTTTTTGTTTTAAAATTTTCAGAAAAACTATGAAATACGAAGGTCCCACCGCTTTCTTTAAAGGAGGTTTGTGTCGTATGATAGTTATTGCTCCATTATTTGGCATAGCACAGATGGTTTACTTTTTGGGAGTGGCTGAAACGTTAATGGGCATCAAGACAAACCAGTACTAAAGCAAGTGATAAAAGATTTCCAGCATTTTCTATCTACTCTTTCAAAAGATTCTTTCCTTCTTCTTCTTCGTAAAGTGAAGTGTGTACGTAATTGTAGAAACTCTTGCCTAAGATAATTATTGATAAATTCAAATTAGTTTAAGTTCTATAGTTGCTATCAAGAGACAAACTTTGCAAATTTTTTAGTGATATTATAATAAAATAGTTTTCCGAGCCATAGCGCGCAACTTTTGCCATAATATCTAAAGGAGTATTTAAAGTTTCCAAAATAGTCTTTCTTTTTTTTTTTTGCCTCTTCCAATTTAAACTAAACTCTGTATGTATGTATTTTTAAATAATTTAAACAAAAGAAAAAAAAAAAACAAAACCGAAGGAAATGCCTAAAATAATAAGTTGAAAAAGTCACAAATTTTATAAACCCAAAATTGTTAATCTTCTCCCTCAGTTTACAAATAATGCTACACACTAGTAAATGAAAGTTATTCTAAAAATTTCTGCAAGTGCGTAGACGGAAGTGACATTTGAACAAGGCGGAGCATTTTTTATTCAATTCTTCAAGTGAACCTTATCGATGCCTTCGATTAAGACACCGAATCCAACGGTAATAGTCTAGTAATAATGACTAAAAGCTTCGGATAAGATTCGAATAAAGATTGAATTGAACCAAAATGTATCTTCCAGTTCGTATATTTTTGAGAAATTACAAAAACATCAAATATTTTATATGTATATGTAATGTTTTTGTGAGAACCACTTAAGTTCATATTTCATTTAACTAATCATTTTTATATTTGTAAACATGTATCGAAGCATTGCTGCCAAAAATTATGGCCATTTTTCTTCTTTTTTTTTTTTTTCAATGATTTACGAAACAATTAATGATAAACAAAAAAACAATTATTGATTACATGATCAAATGAAGGAATTTATTATTGTAAAATATACATATTGAAAACGAAGAGAAGAATCATGCAAAAGACAATAAAACCAAACGTAAAAACATGAAATGCTTACTAAAAGAATTTAGAATGAAAAAGAATTAAAACAAAAACAAATTGCCTCTCACTCTCACTTCCTAATGTAATAAATTGTTATCTATACATATGACATTGTTTTTCCATACATTGTCAATCCAAGTGCATATATATATATATATATACATATTGCTTGATACTATTTACACAAATGGGAAAAAACAAAACACTTATGCGTAGAAATTAGAAAAATGTAGCTCTATCTGTTGCTGTGTGTTTCAAAAAAGCCTATTATCAATGTTTATATAAGCCTTTGATTATGAAAGTGAGCCAAGTCGTATTGACATTTTTCAAAAATTTGCTTTTAATTAATTTAAGTGCATTAGTATTGTATATAATCGAAGAAAATATTTTTAAATTTCTTTACCCTTCAATGGCAAAAACTTTTTTAAAATGGCTGTGAATGAATATTTTATGCAAACGATTATAATGAACGGCGATTTTCTCAAAAGCAATTGTATATGTTTCTAAAAGTAGATAAAAGTTAAGTATAATGTATTGCATAGAAGATAAGAGAAAAAAATCCATTTATATTTTGTAACTTTTATAACAAAGAAACTAAATTTTACGGTTATTAACGTTCTTCTCCTTTATTTTTCTACTCATATATTTCTAATACGAAGACAAAACTGTAGGGTGTACATAATGTTCATAAATTATTAAAAACATAAATGTTATTTGTACGAAAATCGAATTGGAATCTTACTGCATGCAAAACTGCTAAACAAAAGCTGGTGGCGTGTTGATAAAGCTAAACAAAATGCCTATCTGCCCACATGAGTATGGAACTTATGAGCAGATACATCTCTACGATACTTGTAGATTTTACCGCATATGTTGCACGTTGTAGACAAGTTACGTTGAAACGACTTTCCATTATGTGTCGTTTTGTGTAATTATATTTTTGAATCTGTGTTTTCAAGGAAAACGATCTGAAGCGATCTACATAATCCGAAGAATTTGATCTAAAAGGTTGATTGATTTTGAGAATCGCTTTATTTACAGCATTTCCCTCAAGTATTAAATTGTGCATTATTCGCCAATTATGTCAAAAGTTATTCTCTTAACAATCTTGCAATGACTTACGGACCCCCATTTTCAACTAAAGCATATATTATACGCTTCGCAGAGTTGCAAAAAATTCGCTGCACAGAACATGATCTTGTTTCTGAAAAAATGTATTTTATTATCTGTGTTTTGATAAATATTTGTCTTGTTCTTTCCCCATGACATGTACACCGCTTTTTGTAAAGTGATAACCGGCCGAATTAATTTTTACTAGTAATGCTTATCAGTGAGCTGCTTTTCCAAAGTACTTTATAACAATATATATAGATCCACTCAGGTGAAGACATTAAACGAATGCGGATTTAGTTGATGTGTGCGCGTATGTGCGTATGAACAAAAATGTAGAGCCATTTTCAGAGATCAGAATATTCTTCTTTGTCTGCACGGTGTCATCATCATTTGAAGAAGGATCACGCTTCTCAGCTTTCGTAGCGAGTTATTTGACAGTGGTTAGGGTGTAAGACGTAAACACTTACGAAGGTCCCTAAACTTTTTAACCGAATGCAAGTGCGCATAATAAACTAAATTGTAATACTCGCTATTTGGCGTCAAGCGAATGTATGTCCCACAATCTGAACTATCCAGCAAACAAAATATTTTAAATATGTCGGGAGTTTTTAAAAATTTTTAAGCCTTTTTTCTTTTTTTTTTTGTACAGAAACGATTAAGAAAACTGTATTCAAAAAAAAAAAACGAAAATCATTGAAAAAACGATTCACTGACATTACAATATAAGGACGAATGCTTTTACCGATTTCGTGCTGATTGCAGTATCAGCCTGCGTGTCAATGTTATTGACAAAATTTTAAGTAGCCTGCTCCATTTTTCTGATTACGAGTACATTTGTCACAGCAATTAACAGGCAAATGGACAGACGGACTGACAAAAACATCTAGAACAGTTCAGACGTGGTACCGATCAATAATGTTGATGTAGAATGCATACAGTCTTTGAAGCTTCTACAACTTTGAAAATGTGTGGCCGATTTTCTCCATTTTTGTGCAGGCGCCGCAGAATGACCTATAGAATATAAAAGCAAATTTTTATCGTTGTGGCTGTTGTAAGTAACGAGCAAAAAAGAAAAAAAATTTTCTTATTTTTGGAAAAGTAGTCTTAGATTACGTAATACCGTGGCCCGGTTCTTTGACCGATTTAGTTCGATTTGAATGCGTACAAGGACATTTGTTTGAGCTACGTTTGAAGCTGATAACTTCCGTTTTGCGACCAGGCAAAAGTTTGCCGCAAACACGGCATAGAAAAATGGACAGACGGAATATATATACTTCATGGGACTTCCGAACAGTGAAATATTTTTCTTATATAAACCAATTTTGCAAATATTAGGAGTGCAAAGGGTTAATAAAAAAAAATGTTAGTTATTCGAATGCCGGAATAATAATGTATGCACCTTATCTCACAATATTTACTAAGTTACATATCAAAGGTTTTCTTATTTCAAAACAAGAAGCTTCTACTGCGGTTTGTGCAATTTTTGGATAACAAGGATAAGTTTGTGTAACGGCCACTTTGTAAACGTCTGCTTACAGGAATAAAATATACGCCGCCTGCTTATTATTATTATTGCTATTATTATTGCAAAGGATTTGTGAACTATCTTAGCTCACTTGCCGTCACTAAGCATCTCTCCTAGTTAACGCTAGCTGCCTTGACTGCTTATCACCATTACCTTCCCTTATCTGCTTACAATCAATTATTCCACACTGTTATCGCCAATTTTTCAGCTATGACTAATCGTCTTGGAGAAAAAGCAAAATGACTCCTTTCAAAGACTAAACGGTTGAGTCGGCATTTCATTTACACTTTCATTTTTCTTCAAATGGAAAACAAAAGGAATAAACTTACGAATGATAGTAATGGGCGAGAATGTGATTGAGATAATTGAAAGTGAAATTCCTTTTATTTATTTTTTAACTTTTAAGTCTTGACTTAGATCACTTTCATAGTCAGAAAAAAAAAAAAACATATATATGAGTTAATGTGTATGTACGTAATTTATTATAATCAAAATTTTGGAAATTTAAATTGAATGTTTAAGTTTCTTTCTTTCTTGGATCTTATTTATTAATATACATAACTACGTTTATGTTAAAACATTGAAAAAAAAAATTAATTATGTCAATTGGAAAGAAAGAAGATGCCATCAAAAAGAGAAATGAAAAAAAAAAAAATGTAATTGAAATAAATTATAATGCAATACAAACCGTGCATTCCAATCAATTATGATATTAAACAAGTTGTCGTTGTGTTACTTGAAATACATATATATATATACATATATATATTTTTATTCTAAGTGTCTTCTTAAATATTGAATAACGTTCAAGCCACTACTACCAAGACTTTTAGTCTATAAAAAAAAAAAAAAAAAAAAAAAAAAGTATACATATAAATGTGATATATATAATGCCGGAATTTCTTTACGCATTTTCCTCTTCTGTTTCTTAACCCAAAATACTTTTTTGTTTGATTTTTTAATCGGTATCACAATTAAACTGATACAAAATGAATATATTATATATTCGCTTTTGAGCGAATACGGATACTTACCACTTCAAGTCAGTATAATATAGTTAGAGTGCAAGCTATCTTGGTAATTGTACCAATTAACCCATGAGTACGATTTGCACAAAAAAACCATTCATCTTCATTCCAATATATATCTACAAGTACTTTTTTTTTTTTTGATTATTTCGAGCAAATCGTATCATGAATTTATAAATTCGACTTGAGCCAAATACTTGCTGCTCTCTATATTAGCTTTTAAGATCGTAAAGTATTTCAGAGTTTACGATCGGAATTTCGTAAAGCCTCCAATTAGTCCATATATATTTGCATATATACCTTATATCAAAGTGGTAGGTATAAAACTGATAAAACTGATATGACATTTTAAGACAAACAATTTTATATAACATCTGCTTGACGATTCGTAGGTACTGCATTGCCATCTAAATCCCTTGTATTATCACCTGACATGTTATTATAACGATTACGTTGTAGACGTAATAATATTTTACGATACCATTCCATAAGAATGGCTCTACGATATGACATTATGCCAAATTGCAACGATATAAAGCAAAGCCATGATATGAAATTGAGTTGCTCCCAACGTAATAATAGCACCATCATAGATACCACATACGTTCGTAAACAATCACCGTGAATAAGATTTGAACTGGAAGAGAATTTTGTAATACATAAACCAGTATAACCGTGAACAGCAGCAGCTATAAAAAATATTGATATCGCCACAATAATCCAATGATTACTTTGTAATTGTTTGCTTATGTCCATGAAATCATCGAAAACACCTCTTGAATTATCATTGAATGGTATTATAGCTGGCTGATAATTCATGCCTACCCCCCACAATGCTGTAGTCAGCAAACCAAATATTCCACGCCAACCAATCGCTTGCATAAGTGGTATATTAATGGCTTTGATATACTTTTCCTCGTAAACCATCCGAATACCTTCAAAGGCACCGGCGCATATTATCATCAATTCAGCGGATAAAACCGCATTAAAATCAATGTGACTTAAGGAATTTTGATCGTAACGAATTCGTTGCAAATCATTTATAATAATAAAGAACACAGTCAACGCAATGGACAACATAGCACTCCAGTGACGCGCTGTTAAAGTTGTATTAAATTGTATGCCACTGGCAAAGGCCACAAAAATAATGCAAGAGCCTGTTAAAAAGAAAAAAAATAGAATTCAATAATAATAATAACAATAATGATAATAATAATAATTCAGCAATAAATTCATTCAAACTGCGGCGATTTCATGCAATTCGCGATAGTTGTACCGACCGGACGAACGTTATTGAAAAGCGTTTGATTTGGATCAATTTTTCGAAAACTTCCCTTATTTTGAAATGTCGTTACATGAATGATTTTAGGGCGATGTACGGTATTTTATGGCGGGCCGCGGTCAATTATACTTATTTTTTTACTTATTTTATTTTTAAATTATTTGAATTATTTAGTTTTTGTCGCTACATCATTGAACCGATCACAACTTTTGTTAAAATTGATTTATGGTCGTCATAATTATATTAGTAAAGACGAGCAGACCGATTAATATTCAACCGGCATTTCTTTCTTGTCAACAATACAAAAGTTTTATTATTATTTGACGAAATTTGGTATAATGATGTCCTTTGACGCAAGCATTGAAAATGGTTTGGATCGGTTCACTATTTCGTTATCTGGAAAAAAATACGATTTTCAAAATTTCTGGACAAAACTCGCCCCGTAGTAGTATTTGAATATTCCAAATTGGTATGGCTTGAACCCTCTTTCATATAACCGTTCCTAGGGAAACTGAAACTTTATACAGTAAAAGGATGCACTTTTGTACCCGTCATCAAACGATGAAGAGTGTACTCAATTTATCGATGACCCGAAGGAAGCTTCAGAGACCTCACAAAGTATACGTATTCATGATCAGCATCCCATTCCGAATCGATTTAACTATGTCCGTCTGCGAGATGTCCATTGTAAACATTCCTTTGGCGGCGAAAATGCAGCTATCGACTTCAAATTTGGCAGGAACATTAAAAGTTCTTGCACACAAGTTGGTATTGAAAGTGGGCCATATCGGCCGAAGGGCACATCAACAGTACCACGTAAACTAAGAACACCCCTGTTTTCCAAGAGGAATAAAAAATTAATTTTGTGCTTACTGCTCATAAACTGTAGCAGATAAATATACAAAAATTTGAACACATATCGCTTAGGCAATAATGGTGCAGTACCACCAGCCTAAATGTTTTTTGGCATCTCTGGACTTCAGAAAAACATAAGCCTTTGCCGTTAAATTAATTCCAACAAATATCATATTTCAAATTTCAGATGCTTAGCAACCTTTTGACGAGAATGTCTGCTTCTTTCCAATTGACCTTCATCAAGATGTGAAAACAAATTTCCTCTCCCACTTGTAGGGGTTGCAAGGCCTTCAAAACAACAATATCATTAGAGTAAGGAAATGTTACCTGAGCATTCGGTAAACAACTATGATTGCTTTGCAGCAAATAAAGTCCAGAACCTTGATTGTTTAAGAATTCACCAGCAACTGTTGAACAATTTAAGGAGTAAAGGAAAAAATTTGCCGGTCAGAAAGCTATTTTCGAATATCTCTCTCTATATTTTATTAGTTTTAATTTTTCAATAACCTTTTGATTAACTACGCTACACTAAGCTTTATTTAATCAATTTATATTGATGAGGACAGAAATCTTTTGTGTATGTAAATTAAATATTGACCGGTTGTAAATAAGAAAACATTATATATGTAAAAAAAAACTTTTCTAGAAACGCTGTAATAGACTTGAAAATACGTGCATTTTGGCACATAATCACTGTAAGTGTCACCCATCATATTTTTCTGCAACCGCCACATCCTAACAAAAGAGCTACGTATATATCCTCTTGCAAAAGTACTTTGGCGCTTGATTTAAATTATTATATAAAATATTAATTTCGTTTAGATTAAAACAGAGAATTTATTATATTTTCGATAGTAACGATTTTAAAGATTAATAATAATAATAATAATATGCGAGTACTAGTTCATTACAAACGACTCCGGCCTGCGGAATTTGCGATACTTTTTAGATTTTGCAATTCGCTCAGTCCTAAGCTTTTTTTTCTGTTCAATCGACACTTTATCTTGCAAAATGCTGATGAAACATTTGAATTTTTTTTTTCTGATCTTTTCTTGCATATAGAACAGAGACAAACACAATCCGAAAATTTCTTGTGTGTTTCTTTACATATTTGATAGTAGGGACATTTTTATTATTCATGTATATAAACACGTTTATAAACAACATGTATAAAATAATTTCCATGTCGGGGATATTTTCATGGCCGAGGATATTTACGAATACATTCAAATGTGAAATATCAGACAAAGATAGAGAATAGAAGCAAGAAGTTCGACCGAAAGAAAGACTATAAATTTACACTTTACTGAAGCCTTTTTAGGCAAAAAACGAAAATTTTGGCTTCTTTAACTTAGGACCATGCTACACCCTGCTTTTTGGGTCAAAAAAAATTTTTTTCATTTGGGACGATGGTACTCCTTACTTTGACAGTGTTCCACGTTAAAACGTTATGTTTCTTTGCAAAGAAGAGGTTTCTTGACTGGCGAAAATGGCTGCTTGTCTGAAATGCGCTTAAAAGCCGATACAATATTTCGATGAAATGACTTAGAATAAGCGAATATGTGCCGAAGAGGTATTAAAAGAATATTTTGATAAAAAATCCAATTGCATTGACAATATTGATCAACATTCTAAACATTCTAAAGACGGACTCGAGGAGAAAAAACAATGCCGCTGCACCTGCTTACTAATAGGACAGGTATAGCAAGCATTTGTGTAAACGTTTTGCAAAAACCTAAGCAATAAAGTACTCGCGAAGCAATTAATTATGAAGCAACAAATTTTTACCTTTTGTGCAAACAGCACAAAATGCCAATACTGAATAACATTTTATAAATTGTAACATTGTACGTTTATATTGACGAAAGAATATTTTATTAACAATTAATAATTTGTTCCATCGAGCTAAGATTCCGACATGATAGCAACATTATTTTCGTTTTCAATACCTTTATAACAAATATAAGCTTCAAAGACCCCATAACGTGCTTGGCCAGTTTCAAATGTAGAATGCATCTAAATATGTCCGTCTGTCCACATGTCTGCCGTCCTACGCAACTGAATAGAAAAAATCAACCGCGCGTCCGCCATACTGTACACCATGAAAATGTAGTTCCTTTGCTTTTTTCGTCTTCATGAGCATGACGATGATGGTTACAAAAGATTCGGTCACGACCGAATATAATTTTTTTGCTTGTTTCTTTTTATGATAAGAATTTTTATGTATACTTTGTTTACTCACTTCTTATCATTTGAAAACTTGATGCGTAGGTCAGGTAAAGTCCATTGAAAAGTAGTATGGAGGCAATACCATGTAAAAATGCCGGATAAAACATTTTACTAGGACGAAAATCTTGATCACCATTAGTAAAAAAGTTTACAATTTCAGAACCATCCTGTGCAAAAAACACATATAAATGTTCTCAATAATCATAATGATTCCGTTGCCACAATGAATATATACATACACCACGACGTCGCAAAAAGCAATACATGCACTTAAATATCACATAACAAACCAGCTCTCCGGCAAACATAATCATCGTTAGGAATACCTAAAATTGATAAAGATAAAAGACATTGGTAAAAAGTATGTTTCATTTCATATACGATAACTTGGGAAAACCAATTGCGATTTACCGGATGTTGAAAAAAACGTAATTTGCCGTCATTGCATTCAGCCTCCAGTGTATTTGTCCATCTTAAAAAGAAGATTTGTAAATATATATGTATTTGCTTTAAATAATATAAACTCACTTAATTAGAAGTACGTTGGCAGTGCCCGATAAAAGAAACAAAAACACCAAAATGTGATGCATTTTACAAAATAAACATTTACTGAAACATTAACTAATTAAATTATGAATAATTTTTCTTTGTTCTTTTTTTCCACAGGCACAAGTAACAAATTCTTCTAATATAATATTTTCTTAGTTTTTGTCGTTTAACTTTTCTATACACACTGCGAGAAAGTTTACTGCGAAAAGTAATGACATATGTAAAATAATTCGTTGAAGATACAAATAATCAAAATATTATCGATAAATGTAATAATATCGTTACTCAAAATTAAGTGTGCCAAAGAAGGGTTTCCTATTACTTTTACAGCAAGTATTGGGGGACTTTTGCCGACGGCTTTGCAGATTAGCAAAAGTATTAAAAAAAAATTTAATAATAATTCATACAAACTAATGAAGAAATATTTGCCCTTTTTATGAAAGATTTACAACGATTTGGAAATGAAATTTCTCGCGTTGGTATCTTTTTTACTCTTTGTGCTCTTCTTAAATCTGAATAATTTTTCACTTTTCAATTTCACTTTTGATGTACATTTAACAGATTTCCTGAGTGATAAAGCTCTTTTGACAGATTTCCTGGGTTGTAAAGCTCTTTTAACAGATTTATTAGGTTGTAAAGCTGGCGGCTTTGCTTGCCTACCTTTAGGCCGTTCTGCAAATTAGCTAAACATTTCGAAAGTTACCTGATAGAGAGCATACAAGCGTAAAACTTTCCTATCGGACACAAGATGGCCATACCGTATTTATTATTGTCACTTTAGTTAACAAGGAAAACATTTGGAATTTCTTTTACTGAGAATTTTAAGAGGAGGAACTTTTTCTAAAAAGGTGTATATGAAAATAAAAGTTTTAAAGCATTTATAATTTTTTTTATTTTCGATACGAAAAATAGCTGATGAATCATTGGCAATCATTGTCAACATGACTTTATATATTATTATTATTATTATTATTTTAATTTTAGACTAATGAATTGAATTCTTAGACTAAAAAAAGAGACATTGAGCACTAGCAACACAGGCTATCGACTTTATATACAAACAAGTAATTCTTTATTAATTAAATAAAAAATATATGACAAAGTACGAGCGAGCGCGTGTGCTAGGTACAAGAGCTTTGCAAATAGCTATGTGCGCTCCAATAATGGTTGAATTGGAAGGCGAGACAGATCCCTTGCAAATTGCTATGAAAGAACTCAAGCAAAAGAAAATTCCCATCATTATTAGGCGATTTCTTTCCGATCACTCAATAGTGGATCATTGATAAGAACGTTCTGTGTAATATTAAATTTTAACCTGATTAAAAGTAAATATTTTTAGATAAAAATCTACTACTTTATTAATTTTACATAACAATAATCGAAATTATACTAAACCTAGAAAAAACTAATACAGACTTTGTCTTTGTATACAAAGACTAGCTCCAGACGTAGCCATGTGCTTTATCATAGCACACACGTTCTAAAAGTGCAACCGATTGTTGAACTGTTTGACACATACTTTCGACAACACGTGTTCCTAAACCACAATCTGAAAGATTTTCTTGCCCAAAAGCTTGAGAAGCAGCTTCATCCCTTGCACTCTTCTCGCCCGTCGAGCACTGAAAGTCTCTTTCATTTCCCCCAAAAGGTGACAAGTGTAAGTTAAAAACGAGGGCAGAATTACACCTTTTACTTCTACACTGTAGTGATCTATCCCGTCCATAGTTAGTTTGCTTGATCGTGTATTCAAGTGTTGCATGGTTGCTTTGGGAAACGCTATTGGGGCTAATAAAGTAGGTGGGACGCCCGCCAGGCGATCTACTGTCCCTATCGTGCTTTTAGCATTTAACAGAAAACTAAAGAATCCTTGACTTTAGCTGACTAGACGTTTCGTCCTTCCTTAAAGGCATTGAAAATTCTATACCTTCTTGTCGTAAAGATCGACGCAAACCGGATGTGGTAGGAGACATAAAAGCAAGCATTTCGGCTCTTCCTCCTACACCTCGAGCTGCTCGAAATAAAATAGCGAAAGTGTTCCCACATAGATAAAAGTAAGCACACTGCCTGGCTCGTAACCATTGAAACAGGCCTCTAAAGCTATAATTCCAATCTTCGGATAAGGCGTTACGTTCCTTTTCCTTTCCTTTTCTCCTAACGTAATTCCCGTATTTTCCCGACTGTTGCGAGGAAACAATGTCATCCATGGTATGTGGGGATGTTGCCAGTAATAGGTAGCTTGATTGAACCGGGTCGCAGGCGATAAATCCAAACCTTTGCCTTTTTCGGTGGATAGCAATTCATTGCGGCAAAAGAAACGGACTCGCGTTTTTAAACTCCAATCCATCGGTAAATGTTTGGGAATTTTTTGGTCATCTAAATTGACATCTTCATCATCCGCAATGGACCGAGTCGACGTGGACTTCCGCAGTAGCTCGGAAAATGCCGTAGGATCAACTGGTTGTAAGACTAATTTTGTAGGAGGGGCGGGTGGTTGTTTCTCTTACAATAGCCTCTTTTTCAGCAGATGTGGATGCATTTTCGGCTTTTACTAGAAAATCGTCGCAATCAGTGCCAATGTCTGTTTTATACTTTTTGGCATTTTCAACCGATTTGGAAAAGGCAATGATGTCATGAATAATACATTAACTTAGTTTCACTTATTTATTTGACAAACTTTGCAAATGGATTCTTTCTTTTTTGAACAATTGTTGCCTCTAGCAGAATGGCTTTATCAGTTTCGATATTCGTTTCGACTTCGTTGTTATTTCCGTTATGACTAATACGGGCCGCTAATTACTTTTTTTCTGTTTCAATCTTTGTAGACGTAGCCGCTATAAGAGACATAATATCTCACGTTTTGGAAACTAATAGTTAGTTTTCCCATATATCGTACATAACTCATCTGATTTTTTCCAACTTAAAGGTAAGGAGTTTTCCGTAGTCGATAATTTGCATGGATTTTTTCGTAAATTCCCAATACGCTTACGCACTTTTTCATGACTTAATATGACACTTTCCATGCAATCAATTCCTCATCTTTACTGTCTTTACTGGGTAAAATTTTGCTCTCAATATTGTCAATACCATTGATCGGTTGTACGAAAGCATTTCTTCAGAAGCAATTGTGTCAATTCGCTGAACCAATTCAATGAAGTCGCATTCATCATTAGGATCATAATAATCAAACATGTCCGTATAGTAACGATTATAAGAAGGGCAAGAGCAAAATGTTCGAAACTACGACAACAAATTTCGAATAAATGTTTCCGGTATTGTAGATTTTTACTGACTATCCGAAGCTGATTATACACAAAGGCCATTAAACACAATTATAAGGAAGAGCGCGTAACAAATGGACGAGCTATGTAAAGCATTCAAAACTTTTCATAATATTCGCATATTATTTGTAATTCAAAAATATTTTTTTATTTATTTTATTTTATTTATTTATTTAAATAAACTTTCTTTCTCTTCTGCTTTTAGAGTTTTGTACTTTTTCTGATCATTTACGTAAAGAAAAAATTTTGAAAAACATTATAAACAAAATTTATGTCGATAAATAAATAAATTGCACAGGTTTTACGACATTCTATTTTCTCTTCTTCCTTCTTTTTTTTCGTTGCTCTACAACGTTTATTGTGTTAGGGTATATTAAGTTTACGTGGTTATATGCAACATCCAGAAGGGTGTGGGATAAATCCAATCTTTAATTATGCCAGAAATCCTGTTCAATCGCTTTCGGCATCGATTTAAGTTCCGCTCGTTTGTCCGTCTGTCCGTCAGTCCGTTTGTCCATTTGTCAGTCTGTCCGTAAACCAGATTTACAGCGACAACCACAGGCTAATGACAACAAGAAATCACTCTACATGAATGCAAAAAATGTTCCGCAAAAATGACATCAAAAAAGTTTTAAGAGATTTATGAAATATACATTTCTAAGAACTTAATTGTGTGTGTGCTTAAGAAGCAAAACGTTTTGTTCACATTAACATCGGGAAAGATGCGCGTACAATTCTTGCTAATAACTTACTCTATAAATTTTTCTCTTTTATATATTGATTCTTTCCAAATTTTTTTAATAAAATGCATTCTTTTAATAGAACATTTATTATTTAATTTCATCAAAAATTTGAAAAAAATTATTCAAATTTTGTCATATTGCAATACAATATTTTCTATTAATCGCAAATCAATGAAATTAAACAATTATTAAAATTAATTAAGACAACATTTTCGATTATAAGAATTTTCTTTGCCTTTGTTCTTTGTTAAGACTGTAAAGTCTTAACTCCTTTTGAGCAACACATCAATGGGGTCGATAGCCCAAAGCACATTATGATCAATTTCCTTAGAGAAAAATAATTCAAAATAACTATGCAGGATGGGTGGTTGAACGAGGAACACTTATTGGGTATAGTTTAAAAAAGCTAGGAACCATGAACGAAATAATGCTTGCGAACGATTCACTTTCTTGTAAGATACTGGGATAATACAGCCTTTTCCTCACCAACCAAACTGATGGTATAAAAAAATGAATTTGAATTCTTTTAAATTATTTAATAATAATGATTATTTTTGTTACGGATCTAAAGAACCAGATATTCTCCTCTTATGTATTATATACAGCAGAAACAGATAAATAGAGGTAAAGAGCTTTCTTGCTATGGTAGCGTTTATTTACATGAATTTCAATCACACATGCCACATGCAACAGAGGCAAGTTCGATGAAGCTTGACACCAGGGTTGCGATACTTCTCCTCCTTGTCCTCTTCTAGCGTAGATTTTGAAAAAAAAATGCGTAGTAGAAAAAGTTATTGTTCAATTCGCATCTGGATTCTGGGATACTTGACGTTGATGACACGAGTATATTCGTGTTCGCGAAATACATCAATTTAAATTAAAAAAGTTTTCGGGATACCGTATTCGTATGCATATAATTGACAATGCAAATATTAAAGAATAATCTGTAGAAATGTTGTCTGATAACACCAACTGGTGAATTTGGATGTCGCATATATCATCGGACGAATAGGATTGAGTTAGAACTGCAAACGAAAGTAGAAAGCAAAAGGATGGAAAGTTTCAACAATTTTAACATACCTTTAAGTAACTACCTAGGAAATGTTTACGATATTCCATTGGCACGATAGGTTTAAGTACAAAAGCATCACGCCCACAGCAAATCGCTCATTCATTCAGATGGGGCGCCTGATAACCAAATTCTTTACAAGCCGACTCTTTGTTTAAACGTACTGTAAATGGTTTAGACAACACTTTCGTTCTTAATCTTTCCTCCAAATACCACTCAGCTTTCGCTGAATCCAAGCCACATAAAAGTTCGCAATTTGGCGCTTGAAGACGGCAAGTGTCATTGCCAGAAAATAAAGATCCTCGTGCCAAATAAAGAAAGGAAAGCAGCTGTAAAATGTATAGAATTAAAGCGTGCCAATTGTAAAATATATAGAAATAAAGCGTGTCAGCTGAATTAAAAAGGAAAATCTAAAAGATTTATTATACTCAATGATTACTATTGGACAATTGTATCATTGTTAATTAATAAATAAAGCTAAGCTTAATTTAATTTAAAAAAAAAAAACCATGCAATTAAAACCAAAGTCCATCCATATAGTTATTCAAATTTCGTTATAAGTAACGATCAGGTCACCCTTTCTTAAAGTTAATAATAAGAAATATGAGCTTAGATTTGTTTACAAAAGAAATACGATCTTTGAGACTGCCACCTGCTATTTAATAAGATTCGAAGAACTTGGGGGCTTGTGTTTGGAATTACATATACCTCTTGATTTACGCGAGCGTGTTCCTCACGAAATCGTCTAAACGGCAGACCGAAAAAGCTCCGCAGAAGGCCCAGAAAGTAGGAATACAAGCTCACTTAAATTGTGATTAATTCGAGAATATCTATAATAAAAATGCATTCAAGAAATTTGGAACGCCACAAAGTGAGAAAAGCAAAAATTCTTCTGCTAGGTGTAGAAAATTTTTGATGAATTTCCATCCTTCCATAAAGAAACTACAAAGAAAAAATGTCGATCAAGTTCTAAAGCACAGAAGGACGAGTAAGCGGACGTAGCTAAACTAATTACTATGTTCACATTTTATTAAATCATCGATATTGTTTTTAAATGATTAAAATTTTAGAATTCCCCTTTTTCACTTCTCAAGTCAATGGAATTTATTAAAATTTCTCATGCATCTTGCTATACGTACTGAGATGTTAATTGTTTGCGCTTTGTTGTATTAAAATTATAGAGAATAGGTTCAGAAGCAGAGATTACCAGTGCTATATCCGCCTGAGTAACCGAGTAGACAAAGCTTTTCGGCTAACAACTCAATGATCGTGGTTTCAAATATCAAGTGCGGTAGAGTTCTCAATACAGTCGATCGCCTTTGATCGTAGCACTTTAGTCCTGCATTTATTTTTGTAGCTAAAAATTAATAATAATAATAATACCCAGTAAAATATCATGCAAAGAAAGAGGCAGATGCGTAAGAATAAATGTGCTTGTATGAAACGGCTATAAAAACGGAATGCTGCCAAATTTGCGCCGACTGTCACATCTTAGGAACAATCAATCACACACATAATTGACATGTTTAACAAATTATATTTTTCTTAACGAATTCTCGGACGCTGATTAAAAAAATGTAAATTCTTAAAATAATATAAATTACTTTAGCAAACAAAAACATATAAAAGCAAAAAATTCGATTATATCACATAAATTTTGGTGTTAAAATTATATTTTTCTGTTAAGTGAAATCGAGAATAATACGATAGTCTTCTTATTAGAGTATAAAAGAGCCACATAAAAATCTAACAAGAACTTGTGTAAAAGCAAGGAATCAACGCGAAATTAATTTATTAAAATTCCATCAAAATGGGATTTTTGCAACAAATGCTATTAAGCCGCTGCGCCCCACCGCTTATGTTTATAATAAAACGGACAGTTAAAAAGCAGAACTCAAATCCGACAAGGTAATATTTTGCAATCCAGCGTTTTCAAGGTTACAATCTTAGCATTTGGCTAACTGAGCATTTTCTAGAAAATTGATAATATCTAGAATAATTGAGAATAATTACGGACTGCCGTTGCGCAAAGTAAACAATAACAAATTTAGTTGCATAACAGGTGAATGCAAAATATTTAGTGCCGCCTTTTTCCTTGGTATTGTTTCGTTGCAGATTAGCAGAAGTAGGTCGTTTGGAAACTATCAAATTAGATGGCAAATATGAAACTGGACAATTATTTCTGCATCGTATATTCGGTTATAGAGGCGTGGTATTATTTCCTTGGACAGCACGTGTTTACGATCGCGACTTGCACAGTCAAACCAAACCAACGCCATCAACTAAAGCAACGACTGCACAGCCACCTCAAACGACAATAACGCAGCCGCCTTCTATAAATTCCAACACAGCTGCTGCAAGTAATGCAACCGAAACAGGTAAATCAGCAGCAAGTCAAGAATATTTTCCGCCGAAATCTTCAACAGACGCCGCAGAGAGCGTTTCAGCTGCTTTAAAATCCCAGTTAAGCGAAGTGGTTAATACATTAAATTCTGCGGTCAGTAGTAATACATCTTCAAGTAGTTCGACAACAAGCAAATCAGCTACGGAAACCAAAAGTAACGCGACCAGCGGCACGAATTCTACATCAACTAGCAGTAATGCTTCAAGTTCAACGTCTTCAACTTCTAAGGATAGCAATTCCAAAGAAATTAGAGGCAAGGTGCACACTTTCTATCAGGTGCTAATCGATTCAAGAGACTGCCCGTACATAGTAAAGTCGTTACTTAGTTATATCGATGAAAATTTTTTAAAATAGTTATTCGTATTTTAGAGAGCGCAGACCGAGGCAGTAACATTTTTAGGTAGTCAAGACTCTAATCGCAGCCTGTATGCAATACCTGGTTTAGATTACGTGTCGCATGATGATATTATGCCGTATTCGTCTACCGATAAACTGCCTTTGCACCATGAATTATTTGACAAGTTCCTGAATCACGTCCCTGAAAAGCAACCAACGTTCGAAGCCAAAGACACGCTCAAATCCTGGCAAGATAAAAATCATCCTTGGCTGGAGTTAAGCGATGTACATAAAGAAACTACAGAAAATATACGTGTCACTGTGATACCATTCTATATGGGATGTCGTGAGACGCCGGCCTCGTCCGTATATTGGGTACGTAAATATACGATGTTTTTATAATTTTGCCTTTATACTTTGTTTTGTGCTTATTCTTTATCAATAGTGGCGTTATTCTATACGTTTAGAAAATTTAGGAATGATGAGTGTGCAGTTACGAGAACGACACTGGCGTATATTTTCTTTGTCCGGTACTTTGGAAACTGTACGAGGCCGAGGCGTTGTAGGCCAGGAGCCTATATTAAGTCCTCGCCTGCCCGCCTTTCAATATAGCAGTCATGTAAGTCTGCAAGCGCCGAGCGGTCATATGTGGGGTACGTTTCGTTTGGAACGCGAAGATGGTCATATGTTTGATTGCAAAATCCCGCCCTTCTCGCTTGAAAGCAAGCCCGAAGATCCCATCACGGGACAGCCAATTAAAATGGATTAAAAGCAAGTAGGACTTAAAATTAATCGCATAGTTAAAGAACAGTTTTAATTTAATATTTTAGAACTTGCTATGATTTTATGCAAAAGTTTGAAGAAGTTTGAGATATATATATATATATATATAGTGCATAACTAAAGTTTTCAGAGCAGAGATAAAATCACTAAATTTAATGTGATTGTAGCCAATTTAAATTAAAATGAAAAAAATTAAAGTTTTAAGTTAATTTAAAGGTATTTCGTTATTTAACATTAGTGGAAAAGTACGTATGTAAAGAGGAACAGAAAAAAATTATTTGAAAAACAATTTTATTTCATTTTTAATTCGAAAGTGGAGGTAACTTAATAGATTTACTTTCAACTTCTATGTTAAAATTGAAAGGTTTTCTATTTTCGTGAATTTCAAATATAGTTTGTAAAGCATCCAGCGCGGCCAACTGAGTTGCAGTATTGATATCTTCGCCGAAACCCTTTCCTAATAATTTTTTATTGGAATACAGTCCGACAAAATATGCTGCTAATATAGTATTCTTGCCACAGTCTGCAATCAAGCGGGGTTCTGGATCGCCTATTCCTCTTTGCCGACATATTTGTTTTAAAACTGCGCCAGGCTTATCAATATGCCAAATCTCCATTAAGTCCTTTTGATTTAATTGAGTACAAATAAAATCTCTAACAAATGAAAAAGCTCTTTCCAACCCGCTTGACTGCTGCAGACAGCCAATTACAGCCAGCAATGAACGAGACATTGCGTCGCTTGAAGGCGGATAGTCTGCGTCCATCAACAATTCTTTCATGCCCAAATGCAAAGCAACATGCGCTAATGTGTCGACAGATAATAAATATGAAGTAACGGCTTTATGACCTTCGGCAGGCATTTTTGGAAGAGAGTGCGCTACGAAAGCTTCAATATAGGCTTTCGCTAAACGTTGACCATGTTCTGCTAATTCCACATTGTGTTTCAATTGTATATCAGCATTTTCAACGCCCAATTCTTCTTGCTTAACCTTCTCTTTGGCTACATACGATTCTTGGGTTAAAGCTGTCTGCAATAGGGGTATTTGAAAGTCTTCGTTCAATCTTTTACCGAATGCAAATAATTCGGCGCGATAGTTCCAATCCAAAAATCTCGAGCGAGGTTCGGGTGGCTGAGGACCCATCTTTTTGGCACGTTGTCGAAGCTCGCGTAGGACAGGGGCAACCCATCGTTTAATATGACGACGAAGTCGCAAATTACCGAAAGTGTCTCCCACGTTTTTAACCGATGAAATCTGCATACATCGCAAGGAGTTTCTCAGCAAAGCCATTAAATTTTTATTAAAGACTTTTTGAAAAAGTTTAATTTGTCCTTAGGATTCCTTTGTTGTCTATTTTGTCTTATTAAATAATATATGTGGAAATGATGCCAAGTTAGAGTACAAATAAATTATTTTAGTCCCAATGCAAATGCTATCATAATTATATGGGATTGTAGGGGATACGTTCCTAGGTGGCAAAATAAAAAAAAATCAAATATATACAAAAATCAATTTAATTGAACATTTTGAACATTTTAATTAATTTTTTTGTTTGCACGCTATAGTTTTTTGGTTGCACGCTATACTTTTTGGTCAGACAGCTGAACAGTTACTTCTATTGCGAATGATTGATAATTAACTAACGTAACTGAAGAAGAAGAAGTCGAGAGTGAAAAACACTCAAGACGCTGAAAAGAATTCTAATATTAATTTTAAATCAGTAAATGGTTAAATTTTTTAATCGGTCAAATTTATAAATACAATGTCTATACAAACTTACGGCGATAAACCGGTTGCTTTTCAGCTAGAAGAAGGTGGAGAATACTATTATGTCGGCTCAGAAGTAGGGAACTATTTGCGGCTATTTCGTGGTATTTTGTACAAGAAATACCCGGGTATGACTCGCATTGTGCTCTCCAATGAGGAACGCAAACGTTTGGCGGATTCCGGCCTAAGTCCACACATATTAGCTAGCTCAGTTTCATTACTGCGAGCTTGTGAAGTAGACGATATTATAGCTGGAAACGATGAAAAGTTTGTATTGCAATTTTTGGGTGTTCTCATATAAGTGATCAAATGCATATATAACTTTAACAGGTATAGAGCAATCTCCGTAAATACATCGGATGCACCGTTGCCACGTGAAAGCAAATCTAAAAAACAACCCCAATATGTGCCGACAATGCCCAATTCCAGCCACCTAGATGCTGTTCCTCAAGCTACTCCGATTAACCGAAATCGGATACACACAAAAAAGATTCGTACTTTTCCTATGTGTTTTGACGATACTGATCCAACCGCGAATCTTGATAACGCAGCCCAAAAGGAATGCTTGGTACCCATACGATTGGATATGGAGTTGGAAGGACAAAAGTTACGCGATACATTTACTTGGAACAAAAATGAGAGCATGACTACTCCAGAGCAATATGCAGAAGTTCTATGCGACGATTTAGACTTAAACCCAATACCATTTGTCCCAGCTATTGCACAAGCTATACGTCAGCAAATCGAAGCATTTCCCAGCGAAACGCCAATTATAGAAGAAAGTAGTGATCAACGAGTTATTGTTAAACTCAATATACATGTCGGAAATACCTCTTTAGTGGACCAGGTGGAATGGGATATGTCGGATAAAAACAACAATCCTGAAGAATTTGCAATTAAATTATGCGCTGAATTAGGTTTGGGAGGTGAATTTGTGACAGCTATAGCTTATAGTATTCGAGGACAATTATCTTGGCATTATCGGACGTATGCGTTTAGCGAAGCTCCTCTATCGACTATAGACGTTCCCTTTCGAAATCCTAGCGATGCGGATGCATGGGCTCCATTTCTCGAAACCTTAACTGATGCCGAAATGGAAAAGAAAATACGTGATCAAGACCGTAATACTAGACGTATGAGGCGCTTAGCCAACACTACTACGGGGTGGTAAGGACTTTCCTTGTCATTTCGAATCAGTAAAAATTATGGTCATGAGTCATTGCATTGTTTGGTGTATAAATGTAAGCTTATTATTTATTACACATGGTATGCTTTTTAAATACAATTTGATTGCAACCCAATGCTAAATATCACTCGACCGTTTGAACGGTTTTTTCAACTATCAACTACGTTATCAACTTTGTCTTGATCTTGTTCACCATCAAAAAACTCATTTTTCGGTTCAACAATTTTGTCTTCTTCCGATTGCGATATTCTCACATCAGGATCCTCTTTTTCCTCTTTGATACGCAGCTCTTCCATGTCCTCGTCGACCGGCAGTTGTAACATTTGTACACTTGGCGAATGCTGGCACATTTTTAAATTTTCATAAACATGTTTAACTATAGCTTCTAAGTACTGTTTTGAGTTTGCATTTTCTTGCCGAGTATTTATATCAGGATGAAGCGTGAAATCTGGAGCAAAAAACTCCAAATATTCTGTCATAGGTAATTCGTTTGATATAGGTTCATCAACTAGTAAAGATGTTTCGTGAGTCCAGCACCTGGCTACGTTGCGCAGCGTGTAACCGCCGCCACCTACCACCAAAGTGGGCACGTTCAAACCTTTAACAAACTCTACACAAGCACCATGACCACGAGTGCTTAATGAAAAGCAACCCAGACGGTCACCGGCCAAAGAATCGGCACCGCATTGCAGTACAATGGCGGTAGGTCGATAAAAATCCATAACCGCTGAGATGATAGGTTTAAAAACTTGGTAATAACTTTGATCGTCTATGCCCTCTTTAAGAGGTACATTGACGCTATAGTATCGGCCTGATTCTGCTCCAATTTCGTACATATCGCCGGTGCCAGGAAAAAAATAATTACCATATTTATGAAAAGATACGGTCATTACGCGGTCAGTTAAATAAAATGCTTCTTGAACTCCATCTCCATGATGAACATCTATATCTATGTAAAGAACTCTGGGATGATACTTTAAGAGTTCCAATATACCAATTACGATATCATTCACATAACAAAAACCTACAAGAGAGAAAGATAATTAAAATGTTAGATACGCAAAAAATGTATTTGTACCGGAAGCCTCGAATTTTTTAGCATGATGCAAACCACCTGACCAGTTAATGCAAATGTCGCTGTGATTATGATTAAGCTTTTGTGCTCCTTCTAGGGAAGCTCCAGTATACATGGAGCAAAATTCAAATAATCCATCAAATACGGGACAGTCTTCTCCTACGCTAAAATGAGATAAGTATTTTGTGTATCCCACAGCTAAAATGAAGTTGGAAGAGATGAAATTGGTTCCTTCTTAAGTTAAACTGAAGAAACTTACAATTGCAATGAATATTTTGTGGAGTTACTTGTTGTAGGAATTCTATATACTCTTCGCTATGGAAACGTAGCATATCCTGAGCACTAGCTCTTTAAATGAAATATTAGTTCGTACAATTTTTAATACTATAATGCCTTTGATTTTACTTACTTATATGGACGGTAAATTTTCATTTTCTTGTGTAACCCGTAATTCATTACGAGGCTATGTGTCACAGACAGACGGTGAGGCTTCATGGGATGTCCGGGACCATAATGGAAATTGCCGACATCTGGATTATAAAAATATGAAACGCGCCTATTCGAAGAGCTGGCCATAGCTCTTAATATACTTTAACTTTAATCGTAATCTAATGTGCTCCCAGTTGAAAGCCACTCTTTTATAAATAGTATGACCAGCAGTACGATTACCATGTAAACAAGACGTTGAGTTAAACTGAAATCTAAATCACGTAAACTCATAACTTTAATAAATTTTGAAAATCACGATGTTGATTTTTGCTTTGCTTAAACATGGAATGCGTATTTTTATAATATAATAATTGCAATTTACCCAATTGTTTATAAAACAACAAAAATGCTATTGTAGAAGTGCTTCTTCTTATTCATCAATTCATCATCATACTAAATGCAGTGCCAGTATTATGCAGTAAAAAAATTGTAGACTTTACCAACGCAGTAAGATAAAAATACGGTTAGCGCGGTTTGTAAATTACAATAACTTTTAGAATTAAAAAAAAGTTGTTTCTTTGGTCTGAATGAAAGAGAACAGAGAATAAGAAGTTTTATTTGGGCTTTTATATTATTTTGTAAAGATTACTGGCAAAAATTTTCCCTTTATGGTAATTGCGGCTATATTTTACTATAAAAGTTTCGTTCGCCTTATTAGCCGTTCATTCAGTAATCGTTTTTCGCCATTAACAACTGTATACCAAACTTCATTTTCCTTTTCCTTGTCTTTGCTAATTTTGCCATCTGTTAAGACGTTCAGATTATTTCTGGAAGGACTTTTTGAAGGACTTTACAGAAATTAAGTAACTGAGTGCTTAACTTCTGACCAATCATATAGTAATGTGATTATTGTAATTATTAAAAATTATATATTTTTCTTTAAAAATTAATTAAGTATATTTATTAAAAACTTAACTAGTGAATAAAATAAAGGGAACTTTGGCTAAATTTTGTGCTATTAATTCATTTCCAATAATTTTTCATTGATGGCAGCTTAAATATAACCTACGCTCTTAACTAAATTTAAAATCAAAATCTTTTCACAAAGTTGGTTTATGAAAGAATTAGTCATTTTTCTCCTTGGCGCAGTTTTTAATAATGCGTTCAAAATGTAAATGCAAAAAACAACCGATTACTCGTAAGGGCCCTAAGAGCAAGGCATGAAAAATATTTTGAAGAAGTCCTCCCCAACGAAATAGGCCGCCACCTAACAACGTTACCAACCATGATTCAAAACCCAATATTGATATAAAGTTGCTTTTCTGTAATAGAAATATCCAATTGAAAATTTTGTATTACACATGCTCAAATCTTAGACAAAATGAAAAGTTCGCGGAATGACTGCGACTGTACACATGATTGCAACAAATTAGCATGGAAAATGTTAAAAGAAATTTAAAGTTACATAAATGATTGCTTTTACACCGATAAAATAATTACTGGAAAATATTACTCAAGCTGACTTTAAACAAGTCGGCCGAACCTAGAAAAAAAATGGACCGTAGTTATCACTGGCATATTAAATGTATATTAAATTCTTTCAATCTTCAATCGATTTCAGATTGGACTCCAGATTTGTAGCATACGGAGGTCTTTATATTCATAAGTTCTTTCCAATCAGTAAAATAATAATCGAAAAATTCTTCTGGCCCAATTGAGCGCAAAGACTTAAAAAAAAAAACTAGACTTGAGAAAAAACTTAATTTGCTATGAAGCCGGTTGCAAACAATACAGATTTAAAGAAACTGAACAAGGAAATGGTGGAATATTCATGTTTCAATCTTCCAGGAATTACTGTGGAATTCAAAAAATATTTAAACTTTGCAATGCGAACGCCGCAGTCATATTTTTTTTAGCTCTAACCTTACATCATCTCCGCGTTATGAGCTCTTCATATTATTGGCATATATAAATACTCACCAAAGCGTCATTTAGGATTTGCTTAGCAACGTGTTCCGGTTCAGCCAATCCTCCGCCACCAGATATAATTTTTGTTTCTTTGGGTTTGGTTTTTTCTTCGTTTTCAAAACCGGGGGTATTGGTATCAGCCGGCAAAGCTAGTGTTACTGAAATTCCCAAATGCCTCGATTCCATAGCAATTGTTTCAGCCATTGCTCTGAGAGCAAATTTTGAAGCAGCATACGGTCCATAACCATATATACCAAATAAAGCTGCCTGAGAAGCGGTAATTACAATAATACCTTCACCGGATTTCTTCATTTTTGGTAGAACATATCGCGTACAGTTATATGTACCCCAATAATTAACATTCATCAGCATTCGAGCATCTTCAATGGACACCTCTTCGAAGGTCCCGCATATTGCTAAACCAGCACAATTAATTAACATATAAATATCTCCCAAGCTCTCTTCTATATTAGCAAAGGTTTCGGCTACCTGCTCATATTCAGACGACAAGTCCAAGCAGCGATATTGGAATTTTTGTTCAGGCAACTGACGTATGACCTCCATAAGAGCTACTGCTCCGCCTAATTGAAAATAAAAATCGAATCGTTACTGGAATTTCTTTTCCTTTAACATTATAATTAATTACATACTCAACATCTTTTCATCACGTGCTATCACAGTTACATTAGCGCCCTTCATGGCACATTCTACTGCCAAACATAATCCAATACCTTTGCTGCCTCCAGTTATAACTACATGTTTGCCCACAATATTTTTAGCTCGTTTACGTGTTACAAACATATAAACCAATATGTGCACAGCAATTGCCACAAATATATACACACCAATTTCTCCAGTCAGAAATGCCATTGCGAACGTGTATCTACTTGCAGATGCAAAAGAATCTCTGGTAATTAAAGAAAGAAGAAATATTTCCTCTTCTTACTTTATAAACTCGATTAGAAAGTTACATACCGCATACAGACACAAACTAGAGAGGAGTTGGTGCTGTTATTTTGATCGCTTTTCAGGTGCTAAAATGTTTTCAACAATTAATTATTTTTATTAGTTAGTACCAGTAAAACTAGTTCTGAATTAAAAATTAAAAATATTCAACTATTATTATTGTTATTAACAGCAGCTCTTTCTTGGAGAAATCGGTGTAATTATAACTAAATTATTGTATCCACGTTGCCATGTTGCTAATACTTATCTACTGACGAATCTGGCAGCATTGTAAAAGTCCGTTGACATATTCTTTTAGCATTATCCTGGCAGTTCCGTCTTGCATAAAAAGAATTGTTTTGCTTTCTTCTTTCAGACAACAAAAAAGAAAAAAAAAAAGCTAAACAATTTTTCTTAACCGCTATTAGTGCACAAATTTTATTAAAAATACTTAATAAAGTGTTCAAATGAACTCGAATATTACTATTGAGCGAAAAAGAGTAGACTGTAATGCTTTACCAAAGGGCTGGCAAAGAGAGGAGGTACTAAGAAAATCAGGAATCTCAGCAGGAAAAGTTGACGTTTACTACTATAGGTAAGTGAGAGAGAGGAAAATAATTTTTTTTTTAAACATTATATAGTAAATATTAACCAAGATGCACGTTATATCAAAATTTTAACACTTTCTTTCAATTCAATTAATTAAAACACACAAATACACTACCTGTCACACACACGTATCCTTTCCATTCACCGATCACCCACTTGACCTATGTATTTCTATACAATGTTGTTGGTGAACTGTAGCCCTACAGGTAAACGTATTGACACAAAACCTCAACTGGCACGACATTTGGGAGATGCGATAGATATAAGCAGTTTTGATTTTCAAAAGGGCAAATTTATACATCACCTACCGCTGCCTTCCATATCCGTATATCGCTGTTCGGCTGCCAGTGGTACCGGTTGTCTTAATTCAAGCAGTACGACGTCTATAGCTTCTGGAGGTCCTCTAACAATAACACCACAAGCTGCTAGCTCAAATTCTTTAAAACGGAAACATAAAACGGCAACGCAACCTCCATCTGGAGCATCGCCACAACATAGCACTTTACTGGGGTCTTGTACTGCAACTGTTCCTACCGCAGCAGTGCCGGCAGCAGGCAGTAGCAACGTTAACATAAGACAGCAACAACAATTAGAATTCAGGTAGAGCTTCTGAGTGAGAAGGTCGATTGTGGTGCATGTCGTGTCATTCGATTTTGGTTTTACTTTCTTCTTTGTCTTTTCGTTTTGTATCCCTTCACAAAAATTGGCAGTTACAAAAATTTCCCGCGCTTGATAAAAATGCTGGGAAAGGCTTTTGTTTTCTTGAGAATTGGCGGATTTGTAAATTTATTAAGCTTTAAATTCATTTGCAAGTGAATGCATGTTTTTTCTTTTTTTTTTTTTTTAATTAAATTTTGAAGGTACCCCACAACGGAGCTTAATAAACGCTATTTGGGGTACTTTCTCTAGCTGATGTGTTGGTACTATTTCTAATGTTGGCTTCCTATATATAAAATTTGCATATTTTTGACAGTCGAGCATTGCGCTCAGATGCTTCATTGGTTCCTCCGATACGTCAAACAGCCTCTATATTCAAGCAACCGGTAACGGTGGTGCGTAATCACGAGAATAACAAAGTAAAACATGACACCAAGCACGGTGCTCAGGAAAAGCCTAAGCAACTTTTTTGGGAGAAACGTTTAGAGCGTATGCGAGCCTGTCACGCGAGCGGTGAGGAATTGGATGATATTGTTTTACCGAAAAATTTGAAAGCGTTAGGTCCTAATGTACATGAACAGACGGTTATGCAATCACTAGCCACAGCTTTGCATGTGCTAAATACGCCCGTAACTGGACAAACTGCCACGAAGTCTGAATTCCAAAAGAACGCCCCGGCTTTTATTAATCCTGATCAGCCACTAATGCAGGCCATACTAGTCTCTGATGACGATATACGGCGACAAGAAGACCGTGTAAACATAGCCCGACGAAAACTACAAGAAGCCTTAAAGGTTTAAATCTAAATAATATACTGATTTTAGGATTAGTTTAGTTTCTAAGTTGAATTAAGTAAGAAACAATTTCTGCTATTGTTTAGAAAATTGAATTATTTTCTTTATTATTTAAATGACTAAAATGCCTGACTATAGAAGACGACTAAAATCTGTAATAAGCTGCTTGCCCTTGCCCCTATTAAGTAAATGCTGCCAAAAATGGCTCTAAAAATTAAAATTATTATAAGAAATTTATAATGTATATATCGGCTTAATTTAAACCAAAGCTAATTGAACGGCCATCCTGTTTTGGAAACAAATACTCTTTGGAGTTTTGTTGCTTTATTCACTCCATTTCTTCGTCCATCATATCGTCAGTGTTATATGCATCGTAATATTGTCGAGCGCTGGAAAACTAATCAAAAAGATGAATAGCACAAAAGTTTATTTAGATCTATGTGGTAATCGAAATGAACTCTTGTGTTTATCAACCTTTTTAAAGAAACCGCGCCACACAGCAAACGCGCTCATAGCGAGTACCGCTCCAATACCAGCTAAAATTTTAGTCTTCTTTTCAGATTCTAGGAACTGGCGTTCAGTAGCAGTTAATAAGGGATCATTAGGATCGACTCCGTCTTTATTTGTATTTATCGAATTAAATGATTCCTTTTGGAAGATGTCACGTGATATTCGGTTAATGAAATTCACTAAATTCCCGCAGCCTTTTATATGATTACTTAATGGATTATTAGGCAGGTTTGTCTTATATAAAATCGCCAAATACGAATAAACAATTGCATCAAATTCACTGAAATCATCGCCGAAAAACCAAATTTTGTTATCTAAACGTTTTGACAAAGTGGTTACACACTTTTTCGCTTTACTAATCAGCTTTAAAGGAAAAAATTTTAAAAATAAATTAAAATTATTGATTTTTCAAGCCTATATATAGAAATTGATTAATATAGTACCCACATAGTCTCTGTCATGAGCTTCCAATTTATCATTTATATCAAATCCTCCCATAACTAAGATTATGTCTTGGGCCTCTTTCTGATACGAAGAAGGATAATAGAAGTTAAACGGGAATGGTGTACGTTTGGCATATAAACTTCTAGTTATTTCATAGTTGTTGGGATCGCCGTACAAAAAGTAATAATAATAAGCGTTAAGATTGCTGAACACCCAGGTAGTAAATGTTTGCGAAAGGCATTTTGCCTTTTTTGGCAATTTTGCATCTATGGCGTAGTTCTTTAAAAAAGAAGGGAAAAAATGAATCGAATAATAAAAAGTTCATTGACCGCTGTCTCTTTTTTTTTTGCCTTTTTTATTCTTCCTACTTAAACATGCTTACACTCTCTTCAACGAATTATACTCACACACCTCTTTATCCAGTAATTGCTTTATCTGCTTATAGCCAACAAATTTCTGAATGCCAATTTGTAGATACGGCAATTTTCCGGCACCTGAACGTAAAGGATTCCCACATGTTTCAATTATTACAGGAAAACGTGTGAATTTAACTAAACACTGCCATTTTAACAAATTAAAATCATAAGGAAAATGTGATGCAATCTGATTGATTAACTTACCAAAACGCGCAAACACTCCAAATCTATAGAAGGCAAACCCCATTCACCTTTGTAAACGTATAAGACAGCGCCCAAAAGCATAATTTATTCCAAATTAATTATATAGAAGAAATCCAAAAAAAAAGCATAATTTTCCTTGTCGTTATTTTTACCAAAAAATCTCGCCGGAAAATAAATTTATATCTTTTTTGTGAGGTTATCTATCTGTCAATGTTAGATTAATATTATGCTTCTTCCTTTTTAGTGTAGCTACTAAAAAGTGTTGACATGAAATACAACACAGTGCGAAGACAAGTTTTTCATTACGTGAAAGTAAACAATTTATTTATTTATCAATTTTTCTTGTGATGTAAATAAAATGTCTTTGGTTTGTTACAGTAATTCCTCAGCGTCCGAAAGTGAAGAAAATTTGGAAGATACTGCGAACTGCAATAAATCCATTATTAGCAATATAAACCGGTAGGTCTTTCATTTTCCTATACCTTAATGTGTAATCAAAATATTATTAATATTATTTAGTAAAAATCTTCCCCAGGCTACTACGTTATTGGGTGAAAGTAAAGCTTCTGTTGAAGTTATTGATGAGCCTTCTTTGCACGAAGGACGCGTAAGAAGTTTTAAACATGAGCGCGGAAATTGGGCTACTTATATCTTTGTGCCTATCAGCGATGATCTTCTTGAAGATTTGCAAGAATCTTGTTCAGCACAAATTAGCAAATTGATCGAAATTAAAAGTTCCACCGAATTTCACATAAGTTTAAGCAAAACTATTGTTTTGCAATATCATTTAATTGATGCGTTTGTTGAATGTTTGGAAGGCGCCATCCAAAATTGCCAAAGGTAAGTAGTGAAAGTTAATTTATTACTACCTTGAATTACTGATAAATAAGATAATCGTATATTGTTGGTGTGAAAAAACAATGATTAAAATGTTAGCGGCTCCAAAGGTGGCAGCTGTAAAAAATATTTACGTTGCCTATGTAAAATAATACCAAAATTTATTATTCTTATGGCTTCAATCTTAAAATCATGTTTTCTTTCTATTTTTTTTTTGCGAAAGTTCTGAATTTCCTTCCGAAATTTCAATCTTAAATTGCGGATTTTCATCGTTGCTATCATAAGAGCCGAGTGAGAACAAGCCCATTCAATTTAATTATATTAAATTATCGTAGCGGGAAAAATCTCTAAATGTTTCTCCATTCTTTGATTACAAATAGGCAGTGAGTAGACAATCCCGCAAGCGGTTATCACTCTTATACTTCTTCAAACACATTAGCAAAGTTCGAATTTTTCTTAATATCTTTGAAACTTTTGAACCTATTGACTTCAGTTTTTTCAACATTTGTGCGAATTTTTGGAAATAAGAAATTCTTACAATATGATTTCAACTGACTTCAGGTGACGAGGAGTACATTCATTTGTCAAAATGATTGCAGCGCCCAGAAGAAAGCTTCGGAGACATTACACCTTGTACGTATCTTCGATTAGCATCAAATTTTTAATCGACTTACGCATGTTCGCTTGTTAGATTGTCATTCTGTCCGTCTCTATAATGCCTGTTGTAAACATTCGTCTGGCCTCAAAAATGAAGCAATCGTCTTCAAACATGGTAGAAACAAGTTCGTGCACGCAAATGGTATTGAAAAAAAGACGAAAAAGAAAAAAACTGGTCGAAGGGCACGCTACTATGTAAGCACTATGTAAAGTGAGCACAACTCTATTTTTCAAAAGGACTAAAAATTGGTTTTTTGCTCTTTACTTATACACTACGGTAGACAAATTTATAAAAGTTTGAACGTATGTTCTGTGAGCAATGCTGGAGTGCTTGTACAAAAGGGGAGTAAAATTGGCCATGTCTATCCAGGGTATAAAATTATCACTTTTTTCTTCAATATCTTTATAATGCGCAGGAAAAAGCTTCAAAAACTCCAACATTTTTGGCCAGTTTCAAATTTGAAATGCACCCAACGCTTATGCAACAAAGACTGTGAGCATCTTTGCTTTCTGTGTTTTTCTTTATTACTCATAAACTACATATACAACATAATGCATGCATAATACATATACATGTATGAACATATACAACATGCAAACTTGCACTTTTATTCTGAAAATAGAAAAAATCAGACCCGCCTGTCCAATATTGTAGAATATCACAATTTAGTTCTTTTCTTTTTTTTTGGGATCATGGTGTTGGGTCAGGACCAAATATAATTTTCTTACTTGTTCAACTGTGAGATTAATTGCGTGAAAAAGTGCATTATTCTTTAGACATTGCTTTGAAAAAAATAAATGGTATATTTTTGAGAAAATACGAGTACAAAGAAGTATTTTTAGTTTAGAGGTCTTAAAAGAACTGCTCTTAAAAACAATAGAGCTAAAAGAGCGTGGCTGGCATTTTTAGTTACATTACGATTAAGTTAATGTAGCCCTTTTTATAATTGTAATATAACGATACTAAAAGGGATTCTTTATATTTGTAATACATGAAACAACGGCTTGAAATAACAAATGGCGGTTTAGCTTCAACGTTCATATAAGTATGTATGTATAATATGTGTTTTCAAAAGTATACCATTTCTATACAATTAGAAACAATGGATGTATTCACTAAATGGGACGACTTGAGATAGACGTCGTGTTATATTTATTTACTTATTTCAATTTCATTGGTTGCATTTCAAAATATAACTAATATCAAGTCAAGAAGTAGAAAAAAAAGATTTAGTGCTATCCGCATTTTATACTCACGTCATAGCGGAATAATGTGCATGCGAGTTACGTTCACCACTAATCGACATAAACTTAACCAAACACAAAATTGTCAGTAACCTTATTTTTATTATTTTAAACCTATTAGCGGACCTGATCTGATCGTACGATATTGTTTTTTTGCCATTGTTCAACGAATAGTATACGTATATATATATATATATATATATATATATAAAATGGCAATATTAATATGTATTGTGGATTATTGAGTGCCTACTAGCTGCTATTAAAAATATGAGTAGTGCTATATCATCATCATAAAGATTTACAGTTGGTTTTAGGATTCAATCCGAATATTGATCAAACCATGGGTATGAATCATTATCGAATTTAAATACATCAGGTAGACCTTGATGTACATAGGGATTCACAATTCGTCCCAGTATTATAGAATATTTTCTTACTTTCAGTCATCAAAATAAAACTGTGTTGGGACAATGAGGCATTATACCAATTAACTGTATTTACTAACACAATATTCAACTTTCAGTTTCTCAGTAACCTTAAATCAATTGATGGTTTACACGAATTCTGAACGTTCAAGAACATTTTTAGCTGTTAAAATAGAGGATCTGTATATGGTGAAAATGACGGAGCTTTTAAGCCATGTTAATCGAGTGATGCTTGACTTTAAACTTGATACATTTTATAAGGTAATAAGTACTTTCCACTATTTCAAATAAAGAATGACAAATTCTTCTGCTTTCAGGATCCTTCTTTCCATATTAGCTTTCTGTGGTGCTTAGGTGACCAAGTGAAGTTGATTGAAAGTCATTTACCTCAATTGGTGAAAGCTTTAAAAGATTGTTTATGCGTTAAGACCGAAATACGGAATATAAAGTGTAAAAGCGGTTATAAAGAGTTTACTTTTAAGCTTAAAAATTAATTTTTCAAAATTATTAATTGTTCTTTTTATCATTATTTTGCTTGGCTGCTTGAAATTGCTCCTCCAAGCGTGCCTCTTCCTCTAATTCCAGTAAACGTTGGTAACGGCGTCCCAACGGCGTTTTAGACCACCATGACTCAAACGCTTCTTCCTCCTCTCGATACACTGGATCTCGTGTACTTGAAATAGACAAAACGCAAATAAGAAAGGCGTATCCTGTTTCAGATGATTTTTTGACGTTCGCTACATTGTAAAAACGCACCTTTTTTTACAATTGCTTTTTTTTTTTGCTTTTTTGAGGTTACGTTCTGGTGTTCATTCTAAGAATAAATTTGACAAAGTCTACCCTGGAATGATATGTTCACGTAGAAAGACTTAACAACATATGCGATCCGACTTCAATGTTTGTGCCGGTCCTACACTAGGTAAAACGAAGCGGAAATTTTTGTTGCATCATTTGACATTTTCTACGGTTCAAGAGACATACACACAAGAATATTATAACCACAAAATGTGCCGTTCAGCGGTACGAGAACGACATTAGCCATAACAGACACCTGTTTTTTCCGTCACATCTAACATGTGAGAATACAGACCAACATATAGCTAACATACCGTTAATTAAGACAGCAAGCGAGTTATCGGAAATGAAATGAAAACGAAATGTATCGAGAACGAAGTCTGAAGGTAAAAGGACTTAAAAAAGAAAATTTGTCATATCAAGAACGCAGTTTTACATTGTCTCTGGGTGGTCGACATTGGCATGCTTAAGCAACTATGAATCTGACACGAACGAAAAATGCAATGTCAATAGTATTATTGTATTTTATTTACCTTAAAGTATTTATTAGTTCGGCATGAGTTAAAGGCCGTGATCGCAGTTGTAGTCTCCGTTTACAGCTTAAGACTTCTTTCAAGCAAGCATTGACTGAACCTATGGTATAACCATCCGATATTTTTGCCATTACACTGCAATCCAAATTAGATAAACCGCCAGAATATTCACTAAATAATCAAGAAAAAAATTAATGAACAGCGCTCATGCGAGATTTCTATTAACTTTTACTTTATCATAGTTGTCCAAGCGTGAGATAAAGCTCCATAATCTGGTCGCGGTATATAAATGAAACGGTTAAAAGTTTGCTGCAATAGCTTTTGATCTGCTTCCCATGGCAAATTTGAAATGCCTACGAATAAGACACGATCTTCGGCAGCAATGTTTTTAATTAATTTAGGTAAGTCCTTTTTTAAACGCTTCGGATCGGTACGATCTGTTTTTGGTACTTTCTTCATAAATGGACGTTCAGCATCGCCCATGTAAATAACGGATGGTTGCAGTAAACGCGACACTTTCAATAATAAATGTATTAACATAATTAAACCGGACTTTCCAGGATATTTGCCAACGATATTGGCCGGAGTTATATCGAACAATACGGCACCGACTTCAGTACAAATAGCGTGCAGTAACGCCTTCTTACCCGAACCTTTTGGTCCCGTCAATAAGATGGAGCGTATTAACGGGCAAGAATTGTGTATTTGTTCGGAACCAAGTGGCAAGACACAATATTCCACAAGGATTTGACGTATATCACCGGGCGAGGGATTCATACCGTTACGCGCCGTTGTCGCTTTATCGCCTAAATATTCACTCAAATGTATTTCTGGATATTGACGTATTATACCGTTCGTAACCAGTTCTTCGTATAAAGATTCGGTAGTACGATCGGGTGTTAAATCTTTTTCTTTCTTCTTTTTACCTTTTTTCCCGGATCTTCTAGCTTTCTTATTACTTTTCTTAGATTTTTTACCTACAGCCGTCTAGTGAATTATAAGAAAATAAGCTAAGATGATGATATAAATATAAACTATAAAAACTTAAATTTCTCAAGTTCACTAAAAATTCAATACGTTGCAGATAAGAATCGCGGATTGGGAGAAAAATAAACTGAATTTGCATAGTTCTAGGGGCGTTTCTCTCGAAAGCAAGGTTTTAAAGTTCGTGGACCCTTCCAACTTTTATCCAACTGCCCAGAGATTTTAATTGCAGAGTCAGCTCTGAATTTTGTCAATAATTTCAGTTTTGGAAATTTTTTAGCAGATTCTGAATACTCATTCAATTTTAAGGCACATTTCTAAAATATTTTGTCGTTGTAAAAAAGAATTTTGAATTAACATGATATTGACAGTATCGTTGTCGATTAAAGGCGGCCGAACGGACTTTTCAGAGGGTTCACCTTTCTCCTATTTGAACTTTTTCGAGCCATCTCCCATCACGCATTTTCATTAAATGTTTTCAAGAAATTTATGCAGGCTACTGTAGCATTTCTTGTTTGTTGGAATTCGCACTCGTTTTAATATGCAACTATTCGTATGATGAACGTTCCTAATAGCCGTGCATACACGGCCGCGTCTTGATTACTACTAGCATCTAGTTCACTTGCTAGGTCAATATATAAAAGCAAGAGATAACGTCAAATGAATATGGGCGTGCTTTTTGAGTTTTGTCGTAACCGGCACAGACGGGAAATTCCGGTAGACTTAATGTATTACAGTGAAAATAAGAAGAGCTATAAAACAAATAATTTCGGTAAGCAAAAGATGACGAGTACGAGAGATTCATACAGTTTTTTTTTGAATGTGATGACGAGTACGAGAGATTCATACAGTTTTTTTTTGAATGTGACAACATTACTTCTGAAAAGTACATAAAGGCATCGACCAAGAGCTGTGTTACTCGTTATCTTATGCTTCATTTAAAAGTGGTCCCGAGTGGAAAGATTTTATTGTGGTGCAATGTATTGATATTTTAGGGCAAACTTTCTTTAACTAACCTGCAACAAATCCAATTCTTGTCTCATTGCTTCATCGACCAGTCTTCTAAATTCGAGTTCGATTTCTTCATATTTTTCTGCATAAATCATATCTTCGTAGGGCCCTTGCGCTACATTACCAGATTCATCTTTATCACGCCAGATTTCATTGAATCTTGAAAAGCGAAAAAGAACAATAGAAATTTTAATCTATCATAATGTACGCTCTGTTCTCTTTTACCACCTTTCGATTTCAGTTTTGATATCCAGTATGCAATTGGAAGGTGCTGGTTGCAGATTAGCTCCTTCTGTTTCCGCTTGATTTTCATTAACATTCAAATCGCCACTGCGTGCCGGCGATTTGGTTTTTTCTTTAGTCTTACGTGACTCCTTTGAAGAGCGAGCCGATGAGCGGCTTACTTCGCTTTCCGTACCTGGCCTACTAAAGATGTGCAAAGAGCCACCTTGGTCTTCTGAAGGAATATCTGGTAATTTACCGGTTTTGTCATAACAATCTTTTATCCAGCCACGTATATCATCGGCTATATCTTCAGTCATGATGGGTCCGTGTCTGTTTTTGATTTCTTCACGTATCAATTCTGTTCGTGCCAATAATTTTTCTTGATAAGCTTCTTGCTTAACATAACGATGTTCATAAACCTGTTTAAAATAAATTGTTAATATTCGTTTATCTCTTTTTTTTTAAATTTTTGAATGCGAGAACCTTCTCCAGTTGATCCATTTTCTCCTGTCTCTCTTTTAGCTCTGACGTGGCCGGTGGTACCATACCAATTAAAATCATTTCGTCCAATTTGCGGCGGCGTGTCGTCCGTCGTGCCGTGTGGCCGCGCCACATTTTCTGTATTTTCATGGCTGCTATTAAACTCGATTCAGTTCGATTTTTATCTTTCTCCTCATTTTTGCTTTTCTCCTTCAAAATACGTATCTCTTTCATGAAATGGGCTCTTAAACGTCCTTGTCGTGCTCGTTCATGCCTTTGAATTAATTGTATAGCTTCCAGATCCGTAAGTTTCTCTATCGTCGGATTTTCTTCCAACCAACCTAACTTTATTTGAATTTCATGCATTGTCTGTTTACGTTGCTCGATATCCTTACGTCGTTCACGTAAAAAATAGCGTGGTATCCTTAGCTCAGTGTCGTGGGGTGTCAGTTTTAAACTTTCGATAACGCGATCGTTGTAACTAAACTCCATAACATCAATATTAACCAGATCATGCTTTAATTCAATAACCCTGCCTAGACAAGCATCTAACAGACTACGTATCAGCTGTCGTTTCTGGGGTTGTACAATTTTATCGTAAACATCTTCAAGTTTATTAGCCAAACAAATGTACCGTACATAAAATTCGTAAGTGCTCGCTTGCATGATATCTTTAGCATCGCCAGCAGCCAAATCTGAATCAATATTCATGGCGGCGAAAGCTGATACGGTTGCCTCAACATCTTGATTTTGGCGTTCATAATCGGATATAGATAGTAATTCAATTTCGTGTTGTGTTAGATGCCACAATTCGTTATAATAATTATTGGACATGATTTTCTATGCAATGAGCAAAATCAAACACGTCGTTGAATCGTATCTTTGGGAGTGACCCTTTAAAATGAGTTTTATATTAAACAAAAATTTCAGTTGCTTAGGTCACTACTGTTACGGTTGCCTTGCATTTTGCAGTTTATTATTTGTTTTTATTAGCAACAAGAATATGAAAGCATATCTTTAATTATGCCTTAACAATTTTTATACTCTACTCCACCGAAGTTAAGCTAAGAGCATATAAAATTTAATCTGACGTACGTAACCCGCTACAGCTCTTGCCTTTGATTTAAGAACGTGTGTCCATTTGATGTCAGCCGATGTATTTTTGTGTTCAACTTACGGGTTGTGATTTTCAATATATTTTGATAAAATGCAGTGACCTAAGATGTTTTGGATCACAAGTGAGTGCCATTACATGCTAAATGCCTATTTTCAACCATTCAATACACTACATTGTCTGATACATTTCTTATTTTTGTAAGAAATATAGATCAATTAAAGATTCAAATTTCCTTATTAGGATAGGAACCAAAAAATAGACAAAATGGTCCAAATTTGCTATAGTTAATTTTTTATCTTTAATTATTAATCAATGATCTGATTTTCTTCATGAAGCATTGAAAATTAAACCTTTTCGTCATATGAATGTCAGTTTTCGTTATATGAGAGAGGGTTTAAAAAAGCGATACAACCGATCCAAAGTTTCCACATTAGTTTAGAATGCCGAAGTACTATTACTTAGCCATCTTCGGCGAGAAATTTTGAGAACTGAAATTTTATGCCGTATAACGACTTTCCAAAATATGGCGTTATGCGGGGAGCGGTCGAAAAAGTGGACGATCCGAACCGTTTACAATAGATGTCTGCGTACCAAATTTGATTAAAATATTTCCAAAATGGTGCCCTGCTTAGATCGATTTAGCAAACGATTTTGAATCGATCATTATCATAAAGCATGGGTCTATCTTGAGCTCTTCTGGGATTACATATTTTCGCACAAATTTAATACACACTGTACTACAAGTGTAGGGTAGAAATAGCCTCTACATTATTTTATCACTTGCACGTGTATTATCAAAATTAAGGACTAATCCTAAAGGTACTTATGAATGAGAGGACTCATATAACCTGGTGGTCAGAGACAAGAAAATAAATAGATGATCCGACATATTGTTCAAAAGTCAAACTAGGAAAGTATTAACGAATTTATGTCTTTTTGTTATCAATAACAGTAACAACGTTGTTAATTAGCAGCAGTTTGACTGCTTGTTCTTTCATTCTCATTATTTGTATGGATAAAGATTTTTTTAATAGTTTCTTGATATGACGTAGCAATCTCTCAAACGTTTTCAAACAGAACCATTTCAAATTCTGCGTTTTTAAGTGAATATGCGCTATGGTATATTCTAAAGTAAATATGGTGGACCCCACGACTTAGTGGATTAATTTTTTCAATACAATATCGTCGACATGGGTCTCAAATAAAAGGAAATGGAAAGTAGAATGCGATGAGTGAAGTGTGTTAATTCTAGATTAATTGAGCTTGCGCATACCCAGCGTCTACTGGCTGCTCTCAGGAAGAGATTTTACAAACGATATGCCCGTTAAAATAAATGCCCTGCCATTGAAGTCACGAACAACCCGAGGAAGACGCAACCAAGAACGTATGCGTCGAGCCGGATGCCAGCAGCCAGAAACTACGTACAACATTGTGCACGCATGCCACAGGACAGCATGAGCTCGAATTGACAGACATAAAGTGTTGCCACATATGTAGCAAGCAAGCTGAAAAACCTCGGTTATATTGTTATCCAAGAGTCACCTCTCAACGTCAAAGACGGCCTCAGGAACCCAGATACTGACGCACTGAGACACAAATACGCCATGATACTGGACGCACAATCGGCGAAGTGGGTTCCAATGCTAATGACTTGGACACCGCACACCATAGGAAGAAAGCGTACTACAACACAGGCACTATATAACAAGCGATTTGCATCTAATACCAGCGTAGAGTACTGACAACTGGGAACATTAGCTCAAGTTGGCAAAACATGTGGAGCAAAGCTTTAGTCGACGAGTTAATTCGGTGTGATTAATACAGCTGATACATCACTAAATCCTAACCGTGCACCCGTTTGTACCTTCCGATGTTTCAACATATTCAACTTCACAACAACAGCAGGACGCGGAGTCGGTTAAGGGGTCCTATTTCCCCACTCCCTTTATGATCATTGTATGCACATGACTATTTAATCTGTTCGAAACTCTTTCACTCAGAGAAGGTACAGAGATCTTTCCTATCCAACGAGGTGCCGGCTCATTAGACACAACATATTAGTTTATCATTTATCTTCCTATGGTTGTATTTTGTTTAATATATATTCTGTAAGGAAGTGTTTGGCTTCCTTATTAACAACAAGTCCGTCCGCCTAAACGTCACCCGCAGACAGGGCATTCCTCAAATTCTTCTTGCCCACCCGATACCTCGAGCGGTTAGACGACCAGGTGCGCCAGACATTTCAACGAGTCGGCGGAAAATTTAGGGATTACGCGCTACGCCTGCAGGACTTGATGCGGCACCTTAATTACACGAAGCAACAGAGGCTCGACAGAATCGAGCGGAATAGTCGTAGGGAGTATCAGCTTTTCTTCGGGGACACCTAAATGAGATGATAGTCCTGGGAGAGCGCTTCGAAGATATACCGACAGTAGCAACGACACCACTCTTGAGAGAAACATCAGGAATACCCCGCCCACTAGGAGAGAACGCTCCGACCTCGATAAATCCCAGCGGTGCCAGCAGAAATGTCTGCCGGCGATGTGCCCAGCCCGGCCACCTGGCGCGCGATTGCCGTAATCAGCGTGTGCTATTCTGTTGGGATTGTGGCGGCCGGGCGTGTTGACAAAGAACTGCTGCCGCCAATACACCGAACAACACCCACAGGCGAGAGGCATGACGACGAAGGAGACTCTTGGCCGGGAGAAACCACCGTCATTGGCGGCGCCAAACGTTCTGGGCATGAGCGGTAGCACCTTGGTAGCCTCCCTCTCCGCAGTAGGTCTACCCACGACAGGAGTCATCGACACCGGGGCGACGAGAAGCATCATCCGTGAAGTGGCCGCCGGATGCATCCCCTACGTAATAAGGGCTGATACAAAGTGTTATTCAATCCAGATGGCAGATGGAACGTCCCAAAACAGCCAACGAACGATAACGGTGGAGGTGAAGATAGGCGACAGCGCAGTAGACCTTGAGCTATTGGTGGTAAAAAGGAGTGTCGACCACCTCACCCTGGGCATGGACTTCCAACAGCCCTTATAGCGCACCGATCGTGGGGGTGCCCAAGCGGAACTGTGAGTGGAGATTGTGCATGGACTACAGGGTGTTAAACAGTCGATCGATCCCAGATGCGTACCCGCTCCCCCGAATAGAGCACATCCTGGATAAACTGCGCCAGGCAAAGTGCATCAGTACGATTGACCTGAAGAACTGGTACTGGCAGATCCCCGTCCACCCCAACATCAAGAAGTATACCGCATTCACCGTTCCAGGGCGGCGCCTGTACCAGTGGCGAGTCATGCCGTTCGGCCTCCACTCAGAACCTGCAACGTTCCAACGTGCGCTCGACCGTGCCATTGGGCTCGAGATGGACCCCTTTGCTTTCGCCTATCTGGACGACATAATCGTCATAAGCAAAAGTGTCGGTGAACACCAACAACACCTGCAGAGGGTGTTTGAACGCCTCCGAAGCGCGAACCTCGCCGTCAACAGGGACAAGTGCAAGTTCTTCCAGAAAGGATTGCAATACCTGGGACACTTAGTGACCGCAAGCGGCATCAGCACGGACCCCGAAAAGATAGCGGCCATCAGAAACCTCAAACCCCCGAGCAACATCCGAGAGTTACGCCGCTGCCTTGGCGCGGCATCATAGTATCGGAGATTCGTGTCCGACTAAACGGAAACAATCCACCCGCTAAGTCAGCTACTGAAAAAGAAATCTCGCTGGAACTGGGGTAAGGAACAGCAAAAGGCGTTCGACGAGCTGAAGCGGAAACTAACGGAAGCGTTCGTGTTGGCGTGCCCGGCTTTTAATCAGCAATTCAGCATCCAAACGGATGCGAGCAACGTGGGGTTAGGGGCCGCCTAAACCCAAGAGCAGGAGTGCATGGAACGAATCATAGCATACGCAAGCAGGCGGTTACGTGGAGCAGAGGGCAACTACTCGGCCACGGAAAAAGAGTGCCTGGCCATAATTTGGGCCGTCAGGAAATTCAGACCCTACGTGGAGGGTTACCACTTCAGAATCACCACCGACCACCAAGTTCTCAAGTGTCTAAACTCGATGGAGAATCCAACAGGTCGTGTCGCTCGGTGGGCGCTTGAACTGCAACAATTCTCATACGAGGTCGAGTACCGGAAGGATAAACACAACGTCATCGCGGACACACTGTCGCGACAGCCCATGCAAGGAGCAGAAGAGCTACATCGAGCTATCTACGCGACAACACAATGTCCATGGTTGACCAAATTGATGCAACGAGTTTTAGCGGAACCCTCGAAATACCCCGACTTCAAGATAATCAACAACAAGTTATATCGCCACACGCCGCCAGTAATCTGCGACGAGGATGAGAATCCGTGGAAGCTATGCATTCCAAGTGAGGAGAGGAAGCGGGTACTGTTTGAAAATCATGATGCACCAACCGCTGGCTCTCTAGGGATCCGGAAAACAGCGGCTCGCATCTTTCAGCGCTACTACTGACCCGGGATGTTCAGGCACATAGCTAAGTATGTGCACGGGTACGAATCCTGCCAACGATACAAAATAAGTCAGCAAAAACCGGCGGAAATGATGCTAACGCGATTACCTGAGGGGCCTTGGTGCACGGTGAGTGCTGAATTTAAAGGAACCCTACCGCGTTCAACCACCGGCTGCAATATGGCCCTGGTATTTGCCGACAAATTCACCAAGTGGACGGAAATTGTTCCGTTACGTCAGGCCACCACCGCCACATTGATAAAAGCCTTCAGAGAAAAAATCCTAGCTCGGTTCGGAGCCCGGAAGGTTTTCATTACAGCTAACGGAAAACAATTTATAAGCCGCCAGTTCAGGCAATTTCTAAGATAGATGGATGAAAAAAAAAACAAAAAAAAAGAAACACTAAGAAAATCAAAAAAAAATACAAAAGGAAAAGAGATTAAAAAAAAAAACCACTAAGAAAATCAACGAGAATACACGAACATCAAAAAAAAAAGAACATTAAGAAAATTAAAGAGAATACTAAAAAAAAAAGAACATTGCAAAAAAAAAGGAAAAAAAAACGTGAGGGAAATCTCGTGGAAAGCATAGTGGAAACAGGAAATAAGACAAACGGAAATCATCAGCAGTATGTGCAGCCTCAGCAGACAACGCCTCAGCAGCACGTCTCATCACTTCACATCACCCACAGCAGTTAACACAGCAGCAGTAAACCTAGCGTCAACACCTCACATCACCTACCGCAGACAAATCATCAGCAGCATGTGCAGCCCGAAAACTTCACATCACCCACACTAGATAATACAGCAGCAGTAAATCCAGCCTCAACACCTCACACCACCCACAGCAAATAACTCATCAGTAGCATGTACAGCCTCAACATGGCGCCTTCCCCAAAAACAGGTAAAACATCAGCAGCAGCCATTACAACAGCAGTATCGTCAACGACACGATCAGCACACTATCATCGCAGGTACGACCCCAACAACTGCAGCAACAGCATCATCGGCTTACACGCGCCGTTAGAGAAAAAAAAAAGTAAAAAACGAAAAGAAACCCACAGAGATGCTAAAGGAAATATCACAAGTGTACACAAAACCAAAAAAAAAAACCCCAAAGGAAAAAAAAACAAAAAAACCATAAGAAAAGAAAAGAAAACCGTAGAAACAAAGAATAGAAGAAAACGAAACAACAGGAAAAAAATGAATAGCAAAAAAAAAGAACAAAAAAACGCAGGGTAAAACAAAATGTATATGCCAAGAGATATGCAAACAAACAAGTAAAACAGCAAGAGAATTACGACGCCGGAATCAATGGTTATACCGGCAAATCTAACGGAAGGAAAGAAAAACAACAAGAAATACACGCATGCAAAGCAAAAAATATCACGCGCACACACGAGAAACACCGCTGGACAGCACACGCATGCAAGCAAAGGCTACTACGCGCATACATGAGAAACGCTACGTAGCAAATACACGCATACAAAGCAAAAGCTACCACGCACACACACGAGAAACCTCGCTGGACAGCACACGCATGCAAAGCAAAGGCTACTACGCACATACATGAGAAACGCTACGTAGCAAATACACGCATACAAAGCAAAGGCTACCACGCACACATACGAGAAACACAACATCACTGATACACGCATGTAATCAAGGCTACTACGCACAAACAGAAGTCCCGTTAGTAGCTCGTACATGATGAGAGCGATTTAATCGACACTTCTAGTGAGACGCGCGACGTAGGCAGATCAAAATAAAAGTGGTATATTAAAAAGAGGAAAAAATGAAGGGCAAAATGGATCGCCATTTCGTCACGTACGCAAACGTAGAGATATGTAGCCGCGACTACCAACGTTTGGCACCCGGGAGGTGGCTAAAGGATCGCTTAGTGGAGGCCTACGGACAGTGGCTATTAAGAAAACGCGTTCCAGCCACAATCAGGGACCAGATCGACCTCTTCTCCCCCTTCCACTACAGAAAAATTGCTCAGACGCCCTCCAACTGGGAGTTGTCCGATTTGTCCGTGCAAGTCTTTCTGCTGGTAGATGAACAGCCCCCTTCAGCAAAATATATAAACACAGGCTAAAATGTATAGAATATGCAAAATATATAAACACAGGCACAAGTGTAAAATAGGTATGAAATCGTCAGAATGAATGTAATATGTATGGAATGGCTAAATTGTATAGAATATGTAAAACATGTAAACACACGCACAAGTATAAAAACAGGTTTAACTTTGTTTAAAATGCATAAGCACATATGACAGCGCACAAACTGTACATTGGCATAGAAACCTCTAGGAAAATGTATAAACGCCGTTAGGCTATACAAAACATACACACAGGGATAAACACTTAGGTAGAAAAATAAGGGATAAGCACACACGATCATGCCAAACGCATAGATTACAGCAATGTACATCAACATACAGAAACCCGTATGCGTAAAATGTATAAACATATACTGTAGAAACGCATACAACATTATACTCTACTGTGTGGGGGAGAGTGGTGGTTGTGTGTGTGGGGGGGTAGTTTTTAGTACGTAGAAGTCGTATTTGCTGCTACCAAGAACTAGCAGTATCTTTTGAGGATTTTGTACCTCCTGCCCGCAGAGCAAAAAAAAAAAAAAAAACTACTGTGTAAACGCCGTTAGGCCACATAATCACGTAGAAACCCTTATGCTTTGAAATGTATACGCACACACAACCTTGCAAAACGCATAGATTACAGAATTACATATAGCAATGTACATTACTGTATAAACGCCGTTAGGCAATGTAATCACGTAGGAACCCTTACGCTTTACAATGCATAAGCACATACGATCAGGCAAAACGCACAAACGATAGAATCACATCTAAGCAATTTGTGTCATAGCCGCCTGAGTAAACCGCGATCTCCAACGACGTGTGCATCAAACCGGTCATAGACGCCTCAAGTGAGCCATAACCACCTAGGTAATCCGCGATAGTACGAGAAAAGTAAAAAAAGCCCTCTAGCCACGTGTGCGCCAAATCGCTCGTCAGGTCACCTCGCTGGTTCCTTGCCAACCCTCTACAAAACCACTTGTAATCTCGTATACCAATAAAAGAATATATAAGAACATCCCCGAAGGTCCAGAACATTTTGTTTCATATAAATTGTCTTCCAACGAACCTTGGAGTGGCTGAGTTTCTACCCTGCCCAAGAAGACTCGTTACAACTCTGCATAATCTGTATTATACACATAAGTTCTTAAAATTTTTATAATAAGTTAAGATAATATAGAGAGATATAAAATTGTAATATCGCTGATATAATAAACAAATAAAAAAAATAGCCAAATATTTCGTCATCTAATTAGTGACAAGCATGAATGGACTAACGAGATTTTTTCTGTCACTACTTATGGGGGACCGGAATCATAGATCATAGATGCACCGAAACCCTCATGTTTTCTGTCTCTATAAATATTGACAGTTGCTGTTATGGTTGTCACTTTCGAGAGTTGCACGGCCAACGACAAAGAAGGGTTTAAAGTTTGCTATCTATAACCTGGCGAAAGGTGTTTTTCTTGGAAGCCTAAAAACTGTATCGTAAGAAGGCTTTTTTCTAATTTCTCCCTTTGGTTTTTTTTTATGAAGGTCAACAAACTCATTCAAGTTTTGATGGTCAGCCATATTTAAGAGCGCTGGGGCACAGTTGTGTGTGTACTGTGTAATAACAACCTTGGAAGCATTATTTCCTCAAGAAAGCATAGTATTTGGATGGCCTTTCGGGATGTGTGGTGTGGTCCAAAGGCAAGAGTAAGGTAGCCCAAAAGTGGGATTCCTCCGAAGATGTACCACCATCTGACTATAGGGATGAATGCTTTCTTACCTGGTTGCTGGGTACCGCCAATTGGGGGTATCGTGGTGACTGTGATTACCTCAAAGTTTCGTGGAAAGCTATGCAATAATTGTTTCCCTAGGTCTCGACGCTTACCAATTAGTCCTACTACTTCGGGGTGTTGGTTATCGTTTGTCAAGAAACCTCGCGTGCCACAGAGTACCGTGGGGTTACGCCTTCAAGGTACAAACCTACATAAAACTATATAAGGGATCTGTTCCTATCTACTATCTAGCGGAGAAAAAAGACCCTCTTGAGCTGGACTCTATTCTCGCATGTATTTATATTAATTAACTAAAAGTTGATATGAAAAGATTTTTACTGAAAGATCAACAGTTTATTTAGCTACAGTGGCAAAACAAAGTTTTGCGAAAAATTGAATACGTGAATCCTTGATCAATAACTTTTCCAGTGGTGTGCAGTATACGCTCAATTTTCTAACAAAGAATTTTTTTTGATACTTTAAAAATTGCTTTAGAAGATCATTGTATTCAAACAAGAAACTAATGTCCCGTGAACCTTTGATCAATAGCCCTTCCAACTGTGCATATATTCAGTTTTCTTCGGAAAATTTTTTGTTTATATTTAGAAAAATTGTTGAATTTTTTGTACTTAACAGGAAGGTCACTGTAGCCAAACCAAGTACTGCGAAAAAACTGAATTAATATACTGTGAACCCTAGCCTTTCTAACGGTGTGCAGTGTATATTCATTTTACTTTGGAAACATTTTTTTTGATATTTAGAAACTTCGTTGTATGTGAACTAATTTAGACAATATTCCGAAGGTCACTGTGACAGAACCAAGTGCAGCGAAAAATGAAATTAACGTCCGCCGAATCCTTGATAAACGATCTTTCCAACAATGTACGGTTTATATTCAATTTTTAAATATCCTAATAAAATTTGGTATACTGACATGTTGGTCCAAGGCCGACTCGTACTGAAAATGGATTAGATCAGACGATTTTTCAACCACTTCTCGGATGTCTTGTTTCGAAAAATCATTATGTAAATAAATGTTGCAATTTTCAAAATTTCTCGATAAATATATTTCAACGACAGTGTTTTGGCATTTTAAATTGCTGTGAAAAATTTGGACTAGATGTGGAAATTATATAATTTTTGCAAAGGCAAGGTACTATTTGTAATAATTAATGGTGAAAATGGGTTTGTAACAGTTGTTAAAGGCTCATTAACTACTAGAAAATTAAATATATTACCGTTGACTATAATTGAAAGTTCATATTATATTGAACACTAGACTCGTAAAGTAGCGTGCTTGAACAAGAATAATTTGATAAACGAATTAGCTGGAAAATAAATGAAGAATTAGTTGAAGTGATGTAAGATGTTTAATTGTCGGCCTTCTTCGAGTATATTTTCATCCCAAGCCGCTTGTGACACAAAAGTACGTTGGTTTGTGCGGATTTATATAACGCCCTCCGTTTTAAAGCTCAACCTAAAGATTGCATTTTTTGAGGTATTTTGATGATGCGTTCTAGCTCAACGATGTGCGCTGTTGGAAATTGGATCATTTTTCCGACTACTCCCTACCCGATTAAACCGAAAAACTGGCCGATATTCGTAGAGAATTGACACAACAAATGAAGGCATCTTCCAAGCCCGTTTATAAGGTTTTGACCGAAACCATTGCTGCGGAGAAGTTGTTTGCGAAAAACTTACATAAACGAAATTTGACCCAAGAAACCTTGTACAGGCCCGATATGGGTGTGGCTGATTTTTTTCCGTTTCAAAGCTACTTCTTCCCCAGCCAGATTCAGGATATTTCTTACGCGAAAGATATATCTTCATAGAATCCAAGATTATATTGGAAATGTCATGTAGGAATACTTACCGAATATCTTTTGCAACGCATTACTTCGCAATTAAGCGTTGAAATCGTGGCCTGCTGGCTGCAGTTCATCGCCAAACTTAATAAAACTTCGCTTGTTCTGTTAATTCTTACAGTTTTTAACACTAAATTTTTAATTATATTTAAAAGCTTTTATTTTTTTTATGATGCTTCTTCACGAGTGCAAGTGGAAGTATATGGTCTGTAATTATGTATTTTAAGTACTTTTCGAAAAATTTCTTTATAACTTGCCGAACATCGATATTTTCATAGTTTTATTAAATTTTTTCTGTCTTTTAATTTTTTTTTTGTTAACACATTTAACTTGAATTTTGATAATCTGTACTTTTTTTTTTTTACTTTTTTGATTGAAAAGGAATTTTCAGTAAAAGGAAGATCAGTATAAGTTTTTCTTTACTTTTATTCAATGCTTGCTTCTAAATATTATTAGAGGAGAATGGGAAATAAAACAAAAGAAAAATTTTTAAATTTTGTGTAAACTTGTGTATTATTATTATGTGTGATTTTTTTTTTTTTATAAACGTTTGAAGGAAGTTTTAATGATGTTATTAAAAGGACAACGGATAAATTAATATTAAAATTTGGGTAAATTTATAAAATGAAATAAATTTTTCTCTTAAACTTTAATATAAATATTTTTATGTAAACACAAATTATTTATAAAAAGATTTCTTCATGCTAAAAAAAAAAAACTAAAAAGAAATTAGTTTGTGCCAGTAAAAGCAGGGTCGGGCTTTTCCAAAAAAAATTTTTTTAGAAAATTTTATTTATAAATTTTTAAATGATTATTTTAAACAACATGTGTCTTAGCCGCCGTAAAATTTTATATTTAGCTTTTACAATAATAGGTTTTTTCTTTCTTTTCTTCCCTTTCCTTTTCTCGCCTATATAAAGATAAAACAAAAAGTATTAACACTTAATTGAGAAACTATTTAAATTAAGGAATTATTTTAAGTTTTTTTTTTTTTTTAAAAGAAAAATTTTTTTTCTTAAAACTACAATTACAACAAAAGACAAAGACACAAAAATTCAACTTAATATCTAAACGGATTACTTTGCAGAACGTTTCTGTGACAAAGCGGGATAAAAAGATTTGAAAGGTGTGGAGGAAATAGAGAGATGAATTGATTAAAAAAGTTATATGAATAACAAAATATTAAAGAATGCAACATTTTTTATAATTGTTTACGACGTTACACGAATGAGAGTGATATAATAAGTGTTGTAGGATGATCGTATTGCTATTGCTGTCGTTATTGTGTATATTGTTGCGTTATTAAGTAAAGAGGAGCACTGTGTAGTGTAGAGCCTTTATATTTTATTTCTCTGATTTTTTGCTTTGTGTAAAAATTAAATTTTTTTTTATTTTTTTTTACAAAATTATTTTGGATATAAAGTTTATTTATATTAAGGCTTTTTACATACTTCTCTGTTCTTGCTGTTGTTGTTGTTGTTGTTGTTGTTGGGTTTTTTCCTTTTTTTTTTCTTATTATACTTTTAAAGAATTGTTATGGTAACTGTATGATGTCTATTATTTAATTTTTAGTTCTCACTTCGCTTTTTTACTTTTATTATCTGATTTGGTTGTATAAATTAAGTTTTTATATGTGTAAGTGCGTGTGTTTGTTTTTTGTAAAAACTCTATACTCTTTCTTTCTCTTCGCACATTTTTTTATTTTCAATTAAACTATTATATAAAATATAATAATGTTAATAATAGCTGCTGTATATTTAGGGTGGAATTGATAGCTGTTATTGGTGTTATTCCTTTTTTTGTTGTTGTTGTTTTTATATAGCTGCAAATTGTTTGCCCATTTTTCATTCTATATCTCTATACTTCACGCAGTGGCATTTTTCATGTATAATAATTTCACTTTTAAATCGGCAAATGTAGGTCGTTTTGCTGGATTTAAGTCCCATGCTTGTCGCATCATTTCATAGATTTCCGGAGGACAACCTTCAGGTGCCTCCATTTTGTAGCCTACTTCTACATGCTTAACGACATCAGCTAACGGCTAGAAAAGCATATAAAAAATTATATTCGATTTAAGGTAAAAATTTACTTACTCTTTCACGATAATTTAATATGTAAAGAAAATAAAAAAAAGTACAGCGGTTCGCCAAATATAGGTAATTTGTATACGAACACGAACAAAATAAGCTATTTTTCTCAATTTTAGTGGGCAAATGATAATGGACGGACGAGCGAACGGAATTTCGCCCAATAGTCTCCTTGATGATATCTGAATGTTTCAAGCAAGCAAACCTATATTAGCAGAAGCTTCATTCATTATTGGTTGGTTTACTTGCTTTGGAAGGAAAAATAAATAAAACATATGCTTTGCTAATGATGGATGGACCAATCTGGAAATATTTTCATATACTCTTACTATACCCTACACCACTTGTGGTGCAAATTGTAGTAAGCTAGTGTGGATGTATGTAACACGCAGAAGAGCTCAAGATAAACTCAGCTTTTATTATACTGATCGATTTAGAATCATTATCTGAATTGATCTAAGCGTGTCTGTCTGTCTGGCCGTCTGATAACAGTCTATGTGAATTTGTATTCATGCTATAGGTCGCAATGTTTGAGATATTTTGATGAAAGTTGGTTTACTGACATGCTTTGCCCAGCGAAAAACATTATTGAAAATGATTTTGACCGGACAACCTTTTCGACCACTCCCCACATAAGGCCCTATTCTGAAAACTCGTTATATGGAAAAAAATTGTAATTTTCAAAATTTATCGATAAAAGCGGTTAAACAACAGTATTTCGGCGTTCTAAATTTATTTGAAAATGTTGGACAAGTTTTTAAACCCCCTCTGACATGACGGTTCCTAAGAAAACTGAATCTTTATATGGTAAAAAGGTCAAATATTGGCTGATAATAGTAAATTGAAACAGAAATAAATTTTACCGAATTTGGATCATGTAGGTCCATTTTTTGCACACATAAGGATTTTCATGACAAGAAAACCCTTACGATGCAAATTGGCTCATGACGATAATTAAATATAAAACTTAAGTGAACCTGAGTCTATTCCATTGTCCCACTCCATATAGAATATCTCATATGTAATATGTTTGGAAAAAGGCGTAAATTTTAACATATTATGACAAAAATTAATTCATAGTAACGATTGAACAAAAAAATGAACGGTAGGGAATTTGGAACACTTAGGTCTATATTTTTGGACTCTAACATATATGGGCCTTTTTGAAAAAAATGGGTTTGCATGATAATAATGTGTATTGAGAGAAAAATTGTACTAGGCGAAATGATGTAGGGTGTGTAACGGTCGGTGTTGCCCGACTACAATGTGTTCACTTGTTTTCATATGGTTTTGATTAATATTTATAGCAAGTTTTAAAGTGGTACTTAATTTAAGCGGAAAGCAGTTTTGTAAGGTTCGTAACACATAGCTTAATTAGTCCCGGAACTGACACATATATATTACTTCTATCATAAAAAACGATGTCATTCTTAAAAAATGCCACATCCGTCAAAATTTCACATCGTCTCGATTGTTCCTTTACGAGTTGCAATGGGTTTAATGACTTACTTTCTTCGTTTTGAAAATAATGAAAGAATCCGAATTTCCTGTGTTGCATGACAGATAGAGAGATGTTTGTGATAGAAAAACAAGATTTTACTTGAAAAGTATTTCGGTAAGTTTTCCCTATCGAAATCAATTTTTTATCGGCGGTTTGTTGGTTTTAAACAATATATTACAGACACTGATGAAGCGGAACGCCGTGAGCGTCTCAGAGTGGTGCTTATACCAGAATGCAAAAAATCCTGAAAATTATTCTCGATAATCGAAGAGAAAAGTTGCAAAAGATTGTCGACATTTTAAAGATGTTAGCAGGCAGTACTTTCACTACTTTGCCTGCAAACTTGGGCATAAGAAGGGCGTTTCCTAACTGGCTGCCGCCACGTTTACTCAGAAACATCAATATGTTACGTGATGGCTACGACGCCAATATCTAACGAATTCAAATTCGAATTGCTACTATTTTTTTCTTCAGATTTGTACCGCAGCGACTATTACCTGTTTGTAAGCCTCCATGGAAAACGACTTCGATTAAATGTCTTGATGAATTGCAGAAAGAAATGCTAAAGAAGCGTTCGTCTTACTGTATCATTCTTAAAGGAGACTACGCTGATGAATAATGCTGATGTTTGCAATGATGTTTGCAAAAAATGTTTTCTTATTTAGACGTGGGACTCATTCACCGACATGTTATGACTTGGATTATTCAACAACTTTTGGTTTATAGCTTCGAGCTTTAAATTTATCATTAACAAAATCTGCCTACCTATCAAGTTCAAGTATCAGTCAAGCCAGACCACATCGAAAACAGAAGTAAAACCACTGCCTAAGATTTGTAATTCGTTCATTTTCAGGATAACACTCCAAAAATTATTCATAACGTTTATGTAAAGGCATACTTTTCATGAAAGTTTTCATAATGGAGGATGGTCAAAACTTCAAACGACATGGTCCAAATTTCGCAAACTTAATTTACTTAGCAAAAATTTTATTGCTTCTCAGTTGTCTTCGTCATAAAAAGCAAAACTTTTCCGTCATAAAAAGGCTGGCTAAGCGTTTATATATAAAAAGAAGGCCTCTGTGATCCAAATTTCCTAGGGTTAATTTTAATGCTACATTTCTTCTACTGATCAATTTTCACTGTAAAACATAGAACAATAAATGAGGTTAGATCGATTAAGGAAATGATTCTAAATCAAGTGTGTTACATAGATCCGCATCTTAATATACGCAGTTCCACAAATGGTGTGGATTGTAACAAGTTATAAATAAGAAAGGGTACGCAAATATCGTTTCCAATTTTTTGCACTGTTGCCTGTAGCTTACTCCTATGTCGGATAAGGATATATATATATATATATATATATATATATATTATTTTCAATTCAATTTAATAATGAGCAAAGGCGAGTACTAAATATTTACAGATTCGGCTCAAGCCGGACACAAATTCTTTCCTTTTATGCTCTACGCTATTTGTGATGCAGCATTATTGTGCGGATTTACCTAACATCCAGAAAAGCGTAAGGCAGATACAGCTTTTATTACACCAATCGACGCCCGCTTGCCCGTCCGTCCACGCACTTTTGTACTTAACCTACAAGCCAAAATTTTTGAGTTATGCCTATGAAATTTGTTACGTTGGCATGTTTCGGACCAGAGATAAAAACAGATGGGATCAGACTATTTCTACGACCATAACGCCTTTTTTTGTAAAAATTCGCGCGTAATTGTAATTTACAAAATTATTCCACAAAATACGCTGAAAAACATTATTTCATATTTATATATATTTTTTATATATATTTATTTCATACTAGATCGATGTGAACAATTCAGATGGATCGATACTTTGAGCCCCCCTTTTATACGACCATCCTGCGAAAGACGAGCCTTTATATGGCAAAAAAATCTACTACTTACTATTTTACATTGAGCATGAGTCCAGAGCAGTAATTTGATAATCCGTACAATTTCTTCATATTTTATGATGAAAATTTGTCTATAATAGTAATTTGCAAAAGAAGTTGACTGCACCATATTTGGATTCAGAACGAGATCTGTTTTGCGGATCTCACTTCGTATAAGGACACTCGTGAAAAATAAGCAACAATGTGTAAATTGTAAAAAACGATTTATTGGTGTGAATATTATTGTCATTATTTTTATAACTCATCTAATCAGCGAAATAAACTCAAAGAGCAAACGATTACACTACTAACATCTAGAGGCTGTCGGCTTTATTGAAAAATCTACCGCACTTGAGATTTGAACCCACGACCATTCGGTTGTTGTTAGTCGAGATACTTAACCTATCTGGCCATTCAGGCGGATGACGTGTGATTAATAATGTGCTTGACAAGAAGATTAATTTTGCTAAATTTGGACACCGTTAGGAATTAAGGCACAATTTTTAATATTTTATCATGAAAATAAATAAATGCATCATTGAATGAGGCGAGCGGTCGAGAATACCTAATTGTTGCCCTAGGTCAGCTATAATATTCTCATTTGTTTTTAATTTACAATTCACTTACAATTCTTGGATAAGGAACACGACCAAATGAATAGATTTCCCATAATAAAATGCCAAAACTCCACATATCAGATTTATTGGAGAAACGCTAAAAGGTAAAAAAAAAAGAAACCACTTTAAAAAAGTATAATTAAATTAATTTATTACGATGGCAACTTACACTATTCTTTAAAGCTTCGGGTGCAGTCCATTTGATAGGCAATTTGCCCACATCTAGATTATAACATTCTTCGCGCGCTAAGCCAAAATCAGATACCTTTGCTACGCATTCTTCAGATATTAAAACATTGCGGGCCGCTAAATCGCGATGCACCACTTTTTTCGCTTCCAAATATTCCATACCCGAGGCAGTGTCGCTATAATTTACAAAAATACATAATTGGCAAATGAAACGCTTTACATTCTCTTTTGTGTGTACGTTAGAGACTTACTAAGCAAAATTAATTTGGTCTTTCTTTGTTATGTGCTGTCGTCCCCGCGATCTAAGATAATCAACCAGCGATCCTTTGCTCATGTATTCGGTAACCAGATAAAGATGTTTGCTGGTGAAAACTAAACCGATGAACTTTACTAGGTTCTCGTGTTCCAAAGTGCTGCCCCGTTTATTTAATAAATTTTATTGGTTAACATAAAATTTTTTCATTTTTTATTAATCGAAATGACTTACGTCATTACAGAAGCTTCTGCTAAGAATTTTTGCACAGCTCCTTCATCTTTTAACATTTTAACGGCGACTTTTTCATTACGTAAGATGCCCAACATCACGTCCCCAAATTCTCCTTTTCCTATGCTCTCGCGCAACTGTAAGTCAGCTTCCGGTATCACCCAGCCTTTATCAATGAAATCCTTTGAGTTGATGCAAAACTCTTGTTTACCTTCTTTCGGTAAACATTTAATAAGCTGAGTGCATAGGCCATCAGCGTCCGCTTCGTAATGCTAATAAGCATGAACTCTTACGTTTACAATAAGTTGCGAATTCATATACTATGCTACTTACCGCTACTAGTTGTCCTAAATTTTCAAAGTACTCTTCATCGTCAATTGTTAGTTTGTTTTCTAAATATTTGACGCGATAATGCTCCACTTTACCTTGGAAACAAACACATAGGGTGTAATCGCCTGGAAAATTTGTCGATTCACGCACCAGAAATAAACCATCTTCACGTGGTTGCAGCAAATGTTCTGCCTCATCACGAGTAATGCTACCGTGGAACCAACTATGGGATGGGAGTAAATATTTTAATATGATCTCTTCGTTCTTGTATCAACTACGTAATAAACTTACGGCATAGCGTTCAGTTTAACTTCACACTTTTTCTGCAATTGCTGTTGACCGTGCATGGCGGCCACTATATGATTTGGTGCTACACCGGTCGTAGGTGATAACGATGAATTTGTCCAAGTTTGCGTAGCGTTCGCTGCACCGCCACCATTGACATCAAAGTTATGTAAAGATGTTGACATTATTGTGGCGTTATTTGCTGGTGCATTAACCGCCAACGTTAACGTTTGACTTTGATGTTGAAGTTGGTTAGGATGTGGTTGTTGGGTATGTAATAACATATTGCTACCACCGCCCGCATTGCTTGTCAGCCCTATGCTCTTGGGCGGTAAGCCTCGCTCGTGCAAAGAGAGAGCACTGTGCGCAGCGTTTAATGACGAAGACATTAGATTGTTGTTGCAATTGCTTGCTGTTGCTGTAAGCAGATGTTGTAAATGTTGCTGTTGCTGTTGTTGTTGTTGGTGCTGTTGCTGCTGCTGCTGTTGTTGGCTAACACCGACCACAGCTGTTGTGGTTCCCGCTGGTATTGTCGTACCAATTGGAGAAAATGTGGACATTATATGATTAACGTGCTGCAGCTGCTGCTGCTGCTGTTGTTGTTGTTGCAGTTGCTGATTTGGTGATTTCGGCGAATGATTGGAAGTTATTAGACCACCGGCATTTGTTATTAAATTATGACTACTTATAGCATGCGAGATAGCATTATGATGATGATGTTGATTCTGAGAGAAAAAATTTTAATTTAGTTAAAAAAAATTCTGTTTTAAATTTTAATTACATTTATTACCACATTATTGTGATGGTGGGTGGAGAGATTTGTTGGTGGCGCCACAATGTGAGGTTGGGATTGGCTTAACTGTTGCTGCAAAGCTATGTTGGTGCTGGTGGCATTAATCAATATATTGTTAGGATTACTGGTGGCAACATTTACAGCCACAGAGCCGCCGGTGGTTTGAGGTTGTGGCGCAGGACGTTTATTGTGACGTAGGGGTGCTGTAGGCGGCATTTGATGCCCAGTTGATTGTAAAAACCATGGATCGCCAGCCGTACTGGCTGCCACTGCGACAGAAGGTTGCGAGAAACCACGATGATGACCAACAACAGTTGTTTGTCCGTTTTGTGCGGCAGTTACGTGACTGTTCATAACGCTTTTGTTGGAACGTGTTGGATCCGCAGCGTTAGAACCCTGCGTTAATGTATTTGTTGTAGATGTGACGTCACTTGATGCCTTAACTTTATTTAAGTTGTTACTATTTTCAGTCACAATTTCGGGGGAACGTGTCCTTTGTGGACTTGTAAGATAATTTTCGGTATTTGTATTTTCCTCCAAGCAAACCTCTTTCGATTTCTCGTCAGCATTAAGTGAACAAAATTTCAAATTATTAAGAGATTTCTTATTCTCTTTCTCGATATCTGTAGTTGTTGTTGTTGTTGCCTCATCTAAAATGGATATTAACAATGTATATGTTACACTGATGTTAAGAAAAATTCGTTTTATTGTGCTCTACACTATGCTTGACGCACAAGTACATATTGTACATATTATGTGTGCGTGGATGTATGCAACACCCAGAGGGACTTGAGATAGAGCCACCTGTTGTTATGCCGAACGATTCAGAATCAGTTTTTGCAACGACCTAAGCATGTCTGTTTGTCTGTCTTTCTGTCTTGTTGTCTGCCGCTCAACCTACCGTTCGGACTTTTTCACACATTTTGACCCAATTTGCTACAGTCAGGTCGGTGCTTTAGCACAAAGATAACTAATTTTGAAAGTTGTTCAAAAATCGTATAATTTTTTCGACATCTCCCCTTATAACACCTTATTTTAAAAAGTCGTTATATGAATCATTGCGTATTAAACGAGGTGATGTAGGGTCTTTAATGGTGCGCCCTATCCTATAGTGTTTTCACCTGATTTTTAATTCCGTCTTAGCTTAATCAGAGTAAAGAAAGAGGTTCGATTAATTTATTAATCAACAACAGAACCTATAGAACTTGTGATTATAAATAAATAGCGACAAATAAGTGAAGGAAGGAAAATTGCGTAACAGGATGCCAATCGACAATTGACTTTTTTATTTATATATATATATATATTTTTCTGCTAATCGGCTGTTAAAGTAATATAGTAATTAAGTCGCTAACTTTGCTTAGTTTTTTGTCTCTTAATTCGAATGTGCTTCCCATCTGTTTATTCCCATTGTTAGACAGTAGAGATAACCCTATGTACTCAATTTTTCAAATCAATAATAATTTGAAATATTCTCTTTCATAAAATTGCTGCAATTTTTGAATTAACTAAAAGCAATCGATTCATCTCATTTGATAGGGGAGGATTAATTGTGACATTTTTATTAAGAGACGATAGACGAATTCGATTGAACGACCTTTGCCAATGTCTATTGTATAATAGAAATGCATAATATTCGAAATGTGGAGAAGGTATAGCATCACAGTCTTGAGAAGAATATGCGGAAGCACACATATAATTATGGCAATTCTGACCTCGTCTTATTAATATTCAAGCTTAAAATCATTCCCAAGCTACCGCTATTCGTGGTTATCTTTTGTATTAACTTAGAGCTACTTTTTGTCTATCTAGATTATTGCTTTGCGTAAAAGACCTCTGCCATTCATGGTTAATGCATGTACATGCATTTTCATTTATCTTTCAAATTAATTATGACCTCATTTGAACTTTACTTCCATCCACATCTCTTATTTTGCACTCCTCTAAAGGTATTCTTCTATATCAACTATTTGCTAGTAATAAACAATAACACTTTTTAAACTTAATTCCGGTCACCAGAAACAATTGCAACTAGAAAAATGACGGCAGCTACTATCCGCAAAAAAAAAAAAAAAAAAAAAAAAAAAAAAAAAAAAGAGTTTATTTTTTGTAGTTTCCGTTTGAACGATTTTTCTCTTATATTATGGTGAATATATTATCTGAAATTGCTATGATAATGTTGGATATGTTGTACGCGCAGTTATATGATTACTAGATCACTATGGGAAATTTCGGTACACACAATAAACTTCCCGGTTAATATAAATGAGAAACTTCGAGGCAAAAATTAAAATAAAATAGAGTTGAAAGATTTGGTTTTTTTTTTTTTTTGCTTAACGTTCAGTTCACAAAAATCTTTTTGTCATATTTTCCTCCAAATACTGAGTCATTATTTAATTTGTATGCGCGTACATATATGAGCGAATAATTTGTTTATTATATTAAATATCACTGCCACATTGTTTATGAACTCAAGCATTCACATATATATATTTATACATATGCATATATATATTATATCATCAGAATCAGAATTGTCCAACCTTTTGAAATTATTGCATAAACATTGCAAAATATATCTTTAAAAAAAAAAAAAGAAAAGAAGGGTACTGCTGTGTACTGCTGAAGAAGGGCCAATGAAAGGAAGCTTAACTCACCCCAAAATTTCAAATGCAAATGCAAATAAGGCAGCGATCTTCATTAACAACAACAACATACGACAGATATCGATTTTAAGCTTCTATAAGAAAGATTACTGTCCGGTTTGAGTGTTGATAAAAGAATTGAAAAACTTAGCGGCAAAAGAGTTTAAGTTCCTTTCGCTGCTACCTCACTGCCGCCAGTATAGGACCAATGTTTTTATTGAACCAAAGTATTAAAACTGATGAGTATTTATGTAATATTTTTCAAATAATTAGAAGCGACTGCAACTGTAAAGTCCAGAGCTATCATCTAGAAACCTCATAATTTGCATCCATTTCTGACGAAATTTCATCTCAAGCGGGACAATATCAAAAACGAAAAAGAAATTGAAAGCATGTATTTGATTACATTCTTGTCAAAATAGAAAATAAGTAACGTGTGTGTGTGGGCCGTGAGCGCACGTGCACATTAATATATAATATATGAGTAAATGTCCAAAAGTGAACTGCCGCAGCTATACAAGTAAGAAACTTAAGCGGGAGCCTCTAAAGTTGGAACTGTATTTTCCAACTGAGGTAATATCTTTTGGACCTGACATAATCAATTGCGTTTCTATTTTACACGAGGTTAACGAGATGGTCAATCGGTGGTACTGCCTAAACTGCAGGGCTTATGATGTAGAAGATGTGGAGGCCGAAACTTTTGTTTGCAATGATTTGGGCAGAATGAGCGCTATTATGTGATAGAGTAGGCAAAAAGGTAATTCTAAGAGAATCGATCCATTATCAGAATATGAAACATAACCGGGAATTTTGCTTGGGGTATACGGTTTTATTGCAATTACGAGAAAGAGAGCTTAGAATTATATTGAGTATTTACCCCTCCCGTCAGTCGAACGACACATACATTTCCTTGAATCTAAACAAAAAAAAATGTGTGAATGAAAGTTTAATAATCAGAGAAGCTTCAGCAAGTATAAAATGTATTGTAAATAAAAGTGAGGACGAAAAGATTTATTGAACATGAAAATCAAAAAGTTATCACGTACAACGGTTTAATCATTGTGGACTGCTTCTGGTAAGAACTTTGTTTGCATTTGTTTAAAGAATTTGATTAATTTCAAGAAACAAAGGCTTTTTCTTTCACGAAAATCGAAGAATGTCATTACACTTATCACGTCTCTTCTTATATTGAATGTAGGAATGCGAAAGTGACTCTGTCATGTTTTTGCGAGGGAGTGTGAGTATAATTGTAGTACATGCTGAATAAAACTGTGATTTCCCCATTTGGAAATAACTATACGGGGTGCAGGTGTATATGTCATCACACTAGACCTGTGAACAGGTGCAGTTGCATGCCCAAAAACGCCATTTGCGGGAAGTTCGACTTTTTTCTGCTTAATTCGAAGGATAGCATTGCTAGTAGGCATGAACAGCAAGGAGAAACTTGAAAATCCACTACATTTGGGGATGTGGCTTTCTCATTAGAGAAAATTACCAACAAAAACCGTGACAAAAATCTCTCTTCATTCTTTTTTAATATGACCAATATCTCGTGGGATGTTTAGTGCTCGTGCAACACGGTCACTGAAACGATGAGAAACGATCGAAAAAAACTCTACCGGACTTGAGATTCGAACCTACGAACGCTTACTTGATTGAGTCGCGGTTCTAATCTACTTGATTACTCAGGCGCGTTGGCTTGAAAACTAAACATCGTTTGCTAAATGTCACGATGGAGAAGTTCGATCTCATATAACAAAACTTGCTTAAGAAATCTTTGCAGTTCTAACCTGAAATGTCCTACCTTTCCCTCTGCTATCGGCCGACATTACTCCTTTCGACTAAAAAGAGGTTCAATAGATGAGTTTTCGCTCCTTCGAATGGTGCTTCGTTACTACGTTGTCGTTAATCTTAGAAGATCAAGTTGTCTGCCATGTACTTCGTTCATATTCTGCGCGAAAATTGGGAGAACTAACGACTACTCTTGAACAATAAGTTGAACAAAATAATTTGATTTACTTCAATTTTGTCGAAAAACCGGTGAACACATATTCATTAAACACATTTAAATGTATTGACGGGAATTGCTTATCTAAAAAAGTTGGTTATTATCAGAAGGTAATAATCGTTTAGTGTCGAATATGACATCAATTTCCAGCACCACCTTTAAATTAATTTATTTGCAAGTTGAGTTTGTGGCAGTCATATCTGAATTCGTTTTCAATTTTTGTTTAAAATAAATATTTGTTTACAAAAATATCTAAATATTGAATAAAGATTTCGTATTAAGTTCTTTCGGGATTTTCGATAGAATTTCATCGGAGAAATCCAATCAAAATGTTATAGGAGATCTACGACGCTGTAATGATTTGTCAAGAACAGTGCAATGGGAAAATATTTATTTACGCAATAAAAAGAATTCAACGAGCGCAGCGATCAGCGAATTTATTGAGGACTAACTTTGCTCTGCAGTTGGAAAAAAATCGCTGCTACGCAATGGTTTGTGCTTTGGCCTAACAATTACGTGAGTATGGTTTTCCGAGGAGTTTCATAACCGAAGTGGTTATGCTCCCTTGCATCACTAATTGAGTACTTATTGCTTAGGTGTAACGAGGAATTCCAACCTATTGCCTGCTTCCTTAAAAGGTCGCAGTTATTAGAGGGAGCAAGGGAGCATACCTTTGTCAGAAACTAAATACGTCCGCAGGCACCAAAGGGCTTAAAACTTAATCTATGCTTTGTTTTGTTATTGTGAGGTTGAATTTTAACGCCACCTATCATCGTTAAATCTTTATAGATAAATCAAAGATACTTGGTTTAACTATTAGTTTGTATTTGTTATGTTGTTGAGAAAATGTGTCGCCTTTTAATTCCTTGAAATGATTTAGTCACTTTTGTTTGTTGAAAAGCCGAGGCAGGGATTCCGATTTATAGGTAAATTTGAAATTCCTAGGCATGCGTCTGAAATGGTTGCCATCAAAAATTCGCCATAAACCCAAAGAGTT